GGCGGCTGCGACGGATCATGGGCCCCATCGATAGCCATGAGTATCCAGCCTTGCAGCAGCGGAAAGGCTTTCAGCCCTCCGCGTAGTCCACCAGACATTAATGTCTTTGGACCTGGTACGTGCAAGGAGAGATGACAGCAATGATCCAGGGCACGCCCCCCCCCTGCTATGAACGAGTTCCACAAGGGGCCAGCGTCAAGGGAATGCGGCGACGAGGACGACAACGATGACAGGCAAGAGCATGAACGGAAGGTGAGCGTGAGGAGTTTGAGGAGGAGGACGACGACGACGGCGTCGGCGTTGACGACGGCGGCGAAGACGGAGGAGGGACGCGATATGGATTGTTCATTCATTGCGAAGGCTTGACGGCCGGTGCCGCCGACTTTGAAGGGAGACGACGATGACGACGACGACGACGACGATGACGACGACGACGACGACGACGACGACGACGACAACGAGGGCGGAGGCGGCGTCGACGACGACGCTGACGTGGGCCAGAGTCCTCAGGGATGCTTCTTTGGGTCTCTTCCGACGTCTCTCGGGGGCCTCTGGGGAGGAGTGTTGGTGCTTCTTGGGAGCCTCTCGGAGGCCTCTTCGGGCTTCCTAGGGCCTTTTGGGAACTACTTAGGGGCCTTTTGGGGCCTTTTGGGAACTACTTAGGGGCCTTTGGGGGCCTTTTGGGGCCTTTTGGGGCCTTTTGGGCCTCTTCTTGTGACTTCTTGGGGCCTTTTGGGAACTACTCAGGTTTCCTGGGAGCCTCTCGAGGCCGAGGGCCTGAAATGTCCGTTCGGGCCCCCCGTCCGGGCAAGCTCTTGGAGCCGTCTTGGGGGCTCCTTGGGCCGTCGTGGAGGGGTTTGGGGTCGTCTTGGGGTCCTCTTGAGTCTTGGGCTGTTTTGGTGGCCCATTGGAGGCCTCTTGGGGCCGTCTTGGGGCGACCTTGGGGGCATCTTGCGCCGTCTCGGAGCGGCGGGAATGGGCAAAGGCGAGAACGCCCAAGCCTCAATCGGAGGAAGATGGATGATCTAAGGATGAGGGAGGTGCGGGAGCAACACCCTCCCCATCAGTTTCGTTTTGAGTCCCTTCCAGTTCCGTGCTCTCCACTCACCCGGCCTTGCCCCACCCCTCCCTCCTCAGCCTCCCCCTCCCTTCTCTCACGCTCGTCCTCTTCCCATCCTCCTCCGCCCACCGCATCCCTCTCCTCAGGCTGCTCCCCCATCCCGTGCTCCTCCTCCTCTGCCACATTTACGCATCCCCCGCCCCCATGCTCCCAGACTCCTCCATCCCCCCCCCCTCTCCCAGACCCCCCCCCCTCTACCTCCCCCCCCTCCCGCTCCTCCTCCCCCCTTCTCGACGCCCCGCCTGCGAGGCAAAGCTTCTCCAGCAAGGAGCTCCGGCCGCCCATCATCGGGGGGGGGGCAGGGCAGAGGTGCGGGGGACACGCGCAGTCGGGAGGAAGGACTCTACTGGGCATCTCCCCCTTCTGCTGCCGCCGCTCCGCTCGACGTGAGGTCCTCGGCCAGGGACTCCGCGGCCTCCTGGTGGCGCGTGTTCTGGCCCACGCCCGACGCAGCCGCCACGTGCGCGAGTTGGTGTCGAGATCCAGTCACGGATAAAGTCGACCCGCCCACATAGTAAGGATGTAAATTGTCCAAGGTTGCCCTTGCATCCTTCCTTGTTCGGCCAATCCTTGGCGTCTGGGAATGCGGGACGTGCACGATCCTCGAGCGGGTGCGCGTGGGACAAGGGGTCCAGGAGGTAGCAGCAATGCGGGAAGTGCGCAATCCTGGAGCGGGCACGCATATGATGAGGGTTCAGGCGTTAGCTGCCATGCGGGAAGTGCATTCGCGAGGGCACGCGTGGAAGGGGGGATCAGGCATCAGCTGCCATGCGGGAAGAGCACCATCCTCGAGCGGGCACGCGTGGAAGGGGGGCTCAGGCATTAGCTGCCACGCAGGAAGTGCACCATCCTCGAGCGGGCACGCGTGGAAGGGGCTTCTCCAGTTCAGGCAGTAGTTGCCATACGGGAAGAGCACCATCCTCGAGCGGGCACGCGTGGAAGGGGGGGCAGGCATTAGCTGCCATGCAGGAAGTGCACCATCCTCGAGCGCGCACGAGGGAAGTGGCCTCGGTGAGTAGGGGTGATGCACGCACTAGTTTGCGACCGCGGGAGAGGGGGGGGGTCATCTACTAGATTTTAAGAGCCCGACCAGCCAAGCCTTGGCATTCGTCCACTCCTCAACGTGGCGGATGTTGCCAAGTGATTGGCTACTTGATTGGTTTCCACGCTTGTATGCTGGATGGTGTTGTTCGGATGATAGATCGTTAGTTCGTTTGATTAGTTTGCTTTACGTTTTTGTGTTGCCTCGATGCCCCAATGATTTCAAGTATGGCCATACTGACGTCACATCCAGGAATGGCGCATCTACTGACCATACGTACGAACAGACGATTCCAATTGCGCAAGCACACGGCGTTACGTCTGGGCGTGATGCATGTTATTGTTGCATGCTCGATTATTGCTTGCTTGTGTTTTCTAGTAGTCATTGGTGCCCTCCTTGGTGTAAGTGGTTGGTGATCGGTAGTGTTGGCTGTTTAGGTTGTGTGCTAATGGTGCGTGGTATTGACGCGTTGTCGTCGTGACAGATTGACGGTTGTCATCGGCGTATCATGTTTGGTGTTGGTATTAGATAGTATCGTGTGGCAGTGGCCTGCGTTGTGCGTATATGTGCGTTTGCTGTTCATTGTTGGAGCATGGCATGGGTGTCGCACAATCAGTTGTTTTAGTGTATGTATGTTTTATGAATGTCAGTTGCGCATATTTTCGATGCGCGATACTACCAGGTGCCCTTGCTGTTAGATGTTGTTACATGTGTTTGAGTTCTGAGGTATGTTCTAGATGTCATTGGACGGTCTGACGCCTGCACACCGTCATGCCGTGACGCTCCTTGGTGGTGCTTGGCGAGGCGGGATATTCGGAGACACGCGGGAATTGGTTGGGTCGGTTCGTCATTCGTCGAGGCCGCGTGGCGGGATACTGAGGGAGCATCCAGGTGCAGTGCGGGCGGGGCGGATCAGGACATTTGTTCAACATTTCCTTGCGACGTACCCAGCGCCCATCTGCAGTAAGTAGCACCAGGAGGTTGGTCCAGAATAGTATGGCTGATGGCAACCCAGGATCTGCCATTGGTTGCGCAAGCTACATTCGGATCGCGCGCGTCGCACGACTTACAGGACAACAGCAGAAGGACGAGGATTGAGGTCCCAGGCTCAAAGAGGACATTAGGGTGGGAACGAGGGGCAGGAGCAAGGCGGAAGAGGGCCGACAAGTTAACGCGACAGTAGCAATGATGCGGTGGGGGGAGAAAGAGGACGACAACGGTAGATCCAGGATGGGGGAGGAGGGTGGTGATCATTTTCCAGGTGCCCGCTGGACCAGCAGCGCGGCCTGGGCCATGTTTTTTTCTGGCGTTCCAACGGGTCAGATGCAGAGGGAGCAAAACCGAATTCGTCTGCCAGATTCCTCGCTTCCTTTTCTGCACCTTGCAGCGTGGGGGCTTAACGGCCGCAGGCGTGCCGCCAGTGCCTCGGGCGGCCCGAGGGAAAAGAGTTAAAAGCGAATCTGAATCCGCGCATGACACCCTGAGCCCTCGAACGTGGCGGGAGTTCCGCAGGTCGCAGCCCTCCAGGGATGGGGAGGTCTAGTCCCCTGGACCCCCTAAGTAAATTATGAAAGCGGCGACATCTTCGCAATTCGCACCCCCCCCAGCGATGGCGAGGTCTAATCCGAGTTCGCGGCGGGACGTGTTTCCGCTGATTCCCCAGCAGTCTTCGAACGTGCCAGCAGCTTCGCACTGCGCCCCTAACAGTCCTCCAAAGAAGCGGCAGTTTTTCAGTTCGCAGACCCCCACCGATAGCGAGATCTAGCCACTCCGCTGGACCCCCCCTGCAGCCTTCGAACGCGTCTCCAATTTCGCGGCCTCCGAGAAAAGGCGAGATGAAGTCTGAATCTGCGGCGGGACGTCTGCCCGCTTGACCTCCACAGCCTTCGCAAGTTAGCGGCAGGCTCGCAAGCTCGCAGCCTCCCAAGGGATAACGAGGTTTAGTATGAGTCTGCGACGGGACGTCATTCCGCTGGACCCCCCAGCAGGTTTCGAAAGTGGCGACAGTTGCGGGCTTCGCGGCCTCCGAAGGATGGCGAGGTGAAATCTGAATCTGCGGCGGGGCGGTATTCCGCCGGACTTCCCAGCCATATTTCGACAGTTTCGTAGGTCGTTGCCTCCCAGCGATGGCGTGTTTTTTATGCTGGAACACCCAGCATCTTTCGCAAGTGGCAACAGTTGCGCTGATCGCAGTCCTCCAGGGATGGTGATGTCTAGTCCGAGTTTACGCAGAACGTCACTACGCTGTCACTCCGCAGGACCCCCCAGCAGCCTTCGAAAGTGGAGACGGTTTCGAATATCCGAGCCCCCAAGGCCAGCGACGTGCGAAGCAAGAGGCAGGCTGGCAGGCAGGTTCAAGCCAGACGAAGATAGCAGCGGAGAGGAGGAGGAGGAGGAGGAGGAGGAGGAGGAGGAGGATACGATAGAAGTGGAGGGGGGCGAGAGGAGGAGACGCGACCACAGTGCGTTATTCAAAACGAAGACCAACGCAGGACGGTTGGAATTCAATCCCACAACCCCGTTCTTTCGGGGGAGAGGACGGACATCGAACATATTAGGTTGAGGAGGACAAGGGCGGCGAACACGGGGAAGACGAGGGTGAGAGGATGAGGCGGACGTGGGGGAGAGGGAGGAGAGGGAGGAGAGGAGGAGGAGGAGGAAGAGGAGGAGGAGGAACGATCAGACAGGCAGTGGGAAAAAGGGAACTGCGTCAGCCTCGGGGGCGAGGGCCTTCTGCGCCGCAGTGGTGGCATCCGTGCCCTCCTGGCACGCCCCCCAGGACCCGCTCCGCCCGCGGGCTTCGACGAGTACAAGAAGAGCGCCTCCAGCGCCGGCGTGATGGACCTTCCCTCCGCGCGTGCGATCCGCCCGCTCCCGCGCGCGTGGATTCTGGCGCGCGCGTTCGTTCGGTGCCCTGCGGATGTCGGAGTGCACCGCTCATGCATGTTCTCTCCCAGTGTTATTTCCCGCATGCCGCTCTTGAGCGCAACATGCCCGTGCGTGAACTCACAGCGGTCAGGACTCAGTTTGGTGGTCGGTCGGCAGCCCGCCACGGGATGCAAGCGCAGGTATCATACGGACTTCCATACACATGCATCGATGCGCGCAGTCGCGCGAGCAAACGGACGCGGCATGCATGGGATGATCGGGTACTATACGAGGCCCCACCCACATCCCCTGGCCACTATTATTGATCGAGGGACGGTCACAAAAGTGACAACTCTTGCGCGCGCGATTTGTGTGCACCCCCATGAACGAGCTGTTCTGGCACAAGACCGACAGCTCTGCACGCGCCAGTGGGGATTGAAAGTTTTCGAGGCCAAGATGGCCTACGCCAGCGCGGCCACGTCCGACGGGATGCGGCACACGGAAGCCATCTGCAGAGGTAGGGCACGCACATATGCCCGCGCAGCCATTGTAGGCCACCCCATTGAGCGGGCCGTCCCTTGACGCCCAAACCCGCCGTACCGACATCGACCCGCCGTTTCGTGACAGCGCAATGTCAGAAGCCCTGGGGCTGTGTTGGTGGTTCTACATTGGTCCACCAGCCGGGCGTCGCGAGAGTCACTCACGACGAAAGAAGGCATGTTCGGTTCTGGCCACCCTGGGACGTTCTTGGGCCGCGGGGCCCCGCGCAGACTGGCCCTGGAGGAGGAAGGTCCCCTAGAGTCTCCGAAGGCCTTCCGTTCCCCCCCGTTCCTTTCTTTTTCTTCCTTTATCGGGGGCGGCAAAGAGGGGGGTGATGACTAGGGGGGGGTGGATATCATGGCGTGGGCCATGATATTTCCTCAGATCTCGTGGCGCCTCTCCTTATTTCATTGCGTCCTTGGCCCCCCCTTGGGCCGCGCACATGCTGCCGGCTATGATTTGCGCCCCCTTCGCTTGGACGCCCCCCTCTTGGCCGCCCCCGACTTCACCCCCCTCCTCTTCCCAGGGTGGACAATCGGAGGAATGGATGGAAAGGGGGATAGCGCCTGCTGCGTGCTGTTGGTTTCGGCGCCGCCGCCAGGCATTTTCCTTCGTGCATGGTCACCTCCGGCGCCCGGGAGCGCCGGGAAAACCCGAGGCCGGCAGCAGATTCGCCAACCCCTTTCGGTTTTCCCCCCTTCTAGGCTGCCCCGTATCTCCCCCGCCCCCGCCTCTTCCTCCCGAAGAACCACCCCGACCCGACAATTGGCGTTTACTAAACGGCCCTGGGCGGTTGCTAAACAGCCCTGCTCTGGTCGATTCCTTCGCTGGGTGCGTTTGCGAAGCGGTTTCGCGCCTCGGGGTGATTGTTCTGAGGGTGGATTTTTTCTGCCCTCTACTTCTCTCCCTCTGGTTCCTCAGTTCGCCCCAGGACCCCCCCCCAGAGCCCCCCGACACCCCCCTGCCGCAGCGCCACGAGGCGTCCACTGCACCCTTGGCGCGCGCTGCGCCCGTGGGGCGGGGCGGCCCGGCGGCCAGAGGCGCGCGTGCGCGCCAAGCCGTTGCAAGCCACTTGTGGCCGTACAGTCGGGCCGCTGAAGGAGGATCCCTTTTCGTTGGGGAGGGGCTCGGTGCTCCTTGGTTGTTTTACAGCTCGTCTTCGATGCTCCTTCGGTTTTCGAGGGGAAATCGAGCTGTAACTTATCGAGAACAGGGGCCTCGTTCCTTATCTAGGGTTCCTCATGACAGCGTTTCGACTGTAGCCTCTCCATGCCGGACCCCCTCCCTCGGGGACGTAGCCCCCGCCCTGGTCGCGACGGCCTGGATGCCCTGCGGGGCGCAGGCGCGCGCGCGCGCAACAGGGCGGCCGTCGCCCTGCGGGGCGGAAACGACACACGGCAACCCCCCCTCATCGTCCCCCCCCCTCTCTTCCCCCTGCTCCTTCCCCCCCACCTCTCTTCCTCATTCCCCCCCCTCTCTTCCCCCCGGGCACACGGCAACCCCCATCCTCATCCCCCCCCCTCTCTTCCCCTTGCTGCTTCCCCTTGCGGCCACCGCGCCTCCCCCTGCCCTGCTTCGAGACCTGCCTGGGGGGGTGGGGTTAGGCTCGCGCCCAGGCGGTCGCCCTCTCGCTCGGACCTGCCTTCTGGGAGGCAGGCCGCCGTCGTGGCCCCCTTCCCCGCGCCCCCCCTCCTCCTCCTCCTCCTCCTGATCCTCCTCCTGCTCCTCCTCCTCTTCCTGCTCCCCCTTCCCCCCCCCCCGGGCATGCGAGGCGCGCGCGCTCTCTCCTGCGCCCTCGGGGGCGCAGCCCGAGGACCTCATCAAGAACATCATCACGGACGCCAAGGCGCGGGCGCGCGGGGGCGGCCCGTGCTCCCGGGGGCGACGGGGCGGGCACAGCTGTGCAGCAGTGGTCTTCCCTCCTGTGGGTCACCTCCTCCCTCCGCATCCTCCCCGTCATCGCTCCTCACTTGGCTTCACGATTCCTCCTCCCTCCTGATGACTCCTCATTCCCTGGTCCTCCCTCCCTCCTCCCCTCCTCCCACCTTGCACCTTCTCCTCGCTCCTCCTCCTCCTCCTCCTCCTTTTTGACGCCGGGCGTACTTTAATCATCAGGTTGTAGCGTCTTTGGGAACACATCGCACGAACGTGCCGACGTAGGCCTAGGGGCTAGCAAATTAAGCCTGGCGAGTGCAGCCGAAAAATGTAAGGGCAGCATAGAGAAGGGCAAAGAGTGCATGCCCAGGCGGGCACTGATTATACGCCTGCCCGACAGTTCAGGAGTGAAGGAGGACAGTAACGAATAACATAGCCGTAACAATGCGCATACTCAGAACGAAGGAAGGAGGGAATACACCGTATTGGGTGAATGAAATACGCATGCAGGTAAGTAAAATGGGGGAGTCACTGCAAAGGCTAGCCTACGCAGGTAGCCGTTTCCCCCTCCGCATAGGCTTATAACTTCGCATCCCGCCCTTCCCAATATCAAGGCTGGCCAAGTCGGTGTGGCTTGCCACGCGTGGCGAAGCTTAGCTCTGGCGGTCGACACGCTCGCAGCGGTCGACACGCACGTCGTCCTCCGCCACTTGCGTATCCATCGACCTCCGCGTTTACGAGACTTCCTGTTCCTCTTCCGAAGTCGCATGGTTCGGAACATGCGGCGGTTGCCGCTGTTCTTGCTCTAGAGTGCAATGCGGATGGTAAGCTAGCAGCACACAGACATGAGAAGACGAGTGATGGCAAAAGCGCGGAGGCGAGAGACACCTAGATGAGGTAGCTGTGGTAGCATAATTACGTTTGGTGAATAGTGCATTGGTGAACCACAGTCACGTAGGCGAGATTGCGATACGACACCTTGAATTTGCAGGCACTCATCGCTTCCTCCACCTCTGCCGCGCCTCCCTCCCTCCCACGTGCAGCACAATTGTGGCCACACTTCGTTGCGACACTCACTCCCAGAAAATCCAGTGGGTTGCCAGGGTCGCGAGGGAGGCACTGCGTGCACTGGTCTACGCGGTCTTGGCCAACTTGCGCTCCAACGGGAACACTATGCTGCGTGCCAGTATGTGTGCCAATGTGCGCTCTGTCAACAATCGTATGTGCGCCATCCATTCCTGCTGTCTTCAACACTGCGGGAGCCTTGCCGCGGACTGTCTTGCGGCGGTGGCGGGTAAGTGCCGTTATTGGGCAATCGGGGTGAAGCAGGCAACGTAAACATTTAAGGTGCAAACGCGGAGGCAGGGCTACTGAGAGATGGAGTCAAATGTTGTTTACCGTCTATTCGAGGCGTTCTGCGCCACAAGCGTGTACGGGTATTGATGTGCGCGCGCTTTTGTACGGGTATGCGATGTGTGCGCGCTGCGTCACCAAGGCGTCTCAGTGCTTCCAGGTCGGCGTTGGACGTGTCCATGTGTCATGTTGGACGTCGCTGAAAATCTGGGGAGGTACAGGTGCCCATCATGGCCTCACGAAGCGTGTACCCCCTATCGGGCTGCACAGCGGTGGAATGCTGCCTCGGAATCGCGGGCGCCACGCGAGGGGGCGCCGCTCTTAGCACCCACCCGCGATGCATGTGGTGCCTTGTGCACCCGAAAGGCTCGAGGCGCGCATGCTCTGCTCCTCCTCCTCCTCCTCCTCCTCTTCCGCCTCCTCCTCCTCGTCCTCCCCACCCTTGAGCACAACTGCGGTTTGAGACGTGTGTTGTTTCTTCAGGTGGTCGTCGTCGTCCCCCCACCCCTCATGCTCCTCCTCCACCTCCTCCCCCTCTTCCCCTCTCGTCATCCACCTCCTGCCCCTGCGGGCGTCCCTTCTCCCAGGATGAGGAGGAGGAGGGCCGCCCGCACGACTGGGGTGCGCCGTGGACTTCCCCGGAGGAGGAGGAGGAGGAGGAGGAGGGGGGGAGGAGGAGGAGGAGGAGGAGGAGGAGGAGGAGGAGGAGGAGGAGGAGGAGGAGGAGGAGGAGGAGGAGGAGGAGGAGGAGGAGGAGGAGGAGGAGGAGGCCCTCCACTCGTCGTTCCTCCGCCCCTTCCCCCACGACCAGCCAATGCGCACCGAGGCGCCGCAGGACGTCCTCCGTCCTCCCCTCCACGCATCCCTCCCCGAAGGAGTTGTGGCGTGGGGTCCGCCCCGCTTTACGGCCCCACTCTCCCAGTCGATCCCACCTCACGGCCGCCCCGCTCCGTACCAGAGAAGTCCCAGGACGTGTTTCCAGTATGTCGTTCTTCTGCCATTCTGCATTCGGGAGTGGGACATGCCACGTGCGGGCCTTGCTCTCGTCGAGGCGATGGAGGCCGAGACCACCCGCGACGAGGAGGACGCCCAGAAGGCGTACGAGGACATCCCGCGGCCATGTTCCCTTCCGTGCCCGCGCCTTGACGACGGCAGAGGGGGATCATAATAATCTGCGAGGGGTGGACGGGGAGTGAAACACCCGCCCCGTTTACAGTACCACCGCCGTTCCATTCGAGTTTGCCAGATGCTTTGGAGGACTTCGTCAAGGCGAGCAACGACTCGATTGAGGCCAAGAAGAGGGAGGTCACTGCGAAGAGCGCCGAGAAGGCTCCTCGCCCTCCCTCCCTTTACTCTCATCGTTATCCTCGTCATGTGCCCTCTTCTCATCGTCCTGCTGTCCTTCTCGTACATGTGTTCCTTCATCATCCTGTCCTGCGCCTCCGTGTTCTCCTCTCCTCCCTCCTCTCCTGCCTCTTATTCGTCCTGTCCTGGTCCTCCTTGTCGGTCAGCATCCTCTCCCCATCGTGGTTGGTCCTCGTCCTTTCCTGGACCTCTTCCTCTCCTCGTCATGCGCATCGTCCTTTCTCATCAACTCCTCCTCGCCCCCCTCTTCTCGTGATCATCGTCCTCGCCCTCCGCCCCTGCCCCCCCCCCCACCCACCCACACCTCTGTCTGGAGGCCAAGGCCGAGGGCGAGCTGGTGGAGGCGAAGAAGAACAAGGGCAAGGTCATGACCGAACTGGAGCAGGCGGGGCCCGACGGGGAGGGGCGATGGTATCCAGTCGCGACCGCTAAGCAGGTCCCCCTTCATCGCTGGTTCGTAGAGGGGCGGTTATCGCAAGGTGGGGTTAGGAAACGAATCCATTCGGATGCTCACGTTCCCTTCTTCCAGGTTCCGTTAGATCGATGTTCTTCGAACCCAACTCTTGCCTTTACCCCACGTTTTATGCCCCCCGACCAGGTGTTGTGTACATCCCTGGTTGTTTGCTCCACGTGTCTTCTGTCTTGTTAGCACAGTGCTGCCGTCTGGACCGCCTTGCGTTCTCTCGGATGTTCTCTATCCTCGTCGCGACTTGTATCACGGATGCCCATTTGTCGGCTCAATGCACGTCTCTGTATCGTCATATATTTTTGATTGTGCCGATCCCATCGGCTCGTGCAGCATCCCTCTGCGTTCAGGGAAGCCAGAGTTGAGGGAGGCAGGAGCAGGGCGCGAGGGTGACTGGCAGGGGGGCGAGGATGCGGAGGGACAGCAGCTGACGCATGAGATCTATCACGAAGTGCGGATGCAGGAGTCTGGCTGGTGCACACCCGAGAGTTCGCCGACTCTGACGGCATTTCAATATGAGGATGTGGACCCGCGGCAACGCTTCCGTAGCGCAGCAAGGCGTTATTTGAAGGCACCCAGTTCACGTTCTTCCTCAATCTATCATGCGTTTGACCCCTGTCCTTGCAGTGTGATATTGTCCCTGCTCTTGATTTGCGATGCGGGAGAAATGCCCCTGGCATCTCCCGCCCTCTTCCGCCGAATTCCTCAAACTCCGTTCACAAATTGTCTCTGGACCACGTCACGGCCATGATCCGACTGTAAGAGGTGTTTTTCTTACCCCTCCACGCGTCCAGCCAGGGCGACGCGGGTACCCCCCTGGAGACCCACAGCAGGGAGGACATGAATGGGGGATGGAAGGTACGATGAGGAGGGAAGGGACAATGGATTTCCCGCCGGCCCAGTTGTCCAACATGAACGCTCAGCTGCACTCGAGCTGCGACTTCATCCTCAAGAACTTCGAGCTCCGCCAGACGGCCAGGGACGAGGAGGTGCAGGCCCTGAGGCAGGCGAAGGCTCGCACGTCTTCCCATCGCCCTCGTTGTCGATGTCATCCATACATCGTTCTCCCTCTCTCTCCCTCATTCTCTCCCCCTGTCTATTTGCACTCCCATCTATCCATCCATCCTCAACTTACTTCTCGATGCCTCACCACCCCCCCAACATTTGATGTACGTGGCATGTGTATCTTTGTCTTAATTTCTCTCTCCCCGCCCCTCAATGTCCATCTCTCCACACTCCACTATCCATAATCCTCCTTATGCTCTTCGTCTGTCTCTCTCCTTGAATGGCGTCCCCTTTCAGTCGTTCTTTGATGCTACCTCTTCTCGCCTTCGGGTATGTCGCCATCCCGTTGGCATCTGGGGCATCTCGGACATCTTTCTCGACTGTTTCATTGCTCCTCCCCGTTAGTCCCCTCTGCGACCGTCCTCCTCTGTCTCGGGCCGGACGACAGGGTGGGGATAGGAAAAGGGGGGGGGTACGAAATCTGCTGCATGCAGCTGGTTTCGGCCACGCCGCCGGGCCCATTCCTCGATACATGGCCGCCTCCCGGCGCCAGGAGGCGCCAGGAAAATCAGCTACGCGAGCTGATTCTCAAACCCCCCCTTTGCTATCTCCCCATGTCGCACGCCCCGACTGTCCCGGCAGGATGAAAGAGGGGCCCCCAGCGTACAGCTCGTTGACAGGCCAGATTCCTGCCGTCCGTTTTGCAGTGCTTGCGGCATGTGTTTTTGCGAACTGGTGGTTGGCTTGGCACACCTGCGTGCACGCTCAGCTTCCTTATCGCACCTGCTAATCTCGGGCCGGACGAAAGGGGGGGATAATTAAGGAAAGGGGGGATTACGAAATCTGTTTCATGCAGCTGGTTTTGGTCTCGCCGCCGGGCCCATTCCTCGATACATGGGTGCCTTCCGGCGCCGGGAGGCGCCGGGCAAATTTGCTACGCGAGCTGATTCTCAAACCCTCCCTTTGCTATCCCCCCTTTCGCTCAGCCCGACAATCCTGCCCCGCTTCGAGGACTACCTCGACCTTGTCGTGTCGCTACTGCTGCTGGTACAATCACGAGTGTGATTCGTACAATGCGCACACACAAACAGTTCAATGCACGTCCACATTTGCATATCTGTATATTTTAACACCTCTCAGCCGTCGTCAGCCCCTTGTCCATTCCGTACGAGGAATGGTATTAGGTTCCGATGTTGTTTGGGAATGCTACGGAGGCTTTTCTTTTGATCAATTTCGTCCCAAGTTCGGATGCAGAATCGCCCCTTGCTCATGCAGTCGTGTCAGGCTGCAAGACGCCACCCAGTTTTCCACTCCACCCTTCCCAAATGCAGCGCGTCCAGGTTTAATGTTGCTCTCTGCTCTCCGAATCCAACGCACCACCCCGCCCGTCCGTTTGAATGTCGCGCCCGCCCCGCCCGCCTGTTAGAGTCTGCCTGACCAGCCCGCCTGTCCCGCCCGTCGACGCGCCTGTCAGAGCCCTCCCGCCCGACTCACCCGTTTGGGCACACCCCTCGCGCCCGCCCGTTCGAGTGTCTACGCTCGCTTGTTTGAACATTTGTCCTCCCCTCGCCGACCGTTAGGGTCAGCCGGCCCGACCCGGTCGTTGGTAGGGTCCGCCCGCTCTCTTGTTGAACGGCCGCCCGTCGCCCGCTTGTATCGCCCATCTGAGCCGACTCGCCCGTTAGGGTCTGGCCGCCTGGTGCATTTCAAGCCCATGTGTGAATTCATCACTCCACAGTTTTTGAGTCTGTGATGGCATCCTTGACGAATAAGACGAATGTCTGTTCCGGAAGCACAACATGTCTTGCATATATAAGTTTTGCGAACACGTGTAAGATGTGAACAAGTCGTTGCCGAATGATTGAAATGAGTAGGTGGATTAGCACATTTGGATGGGATATTCCGATGAGCTAAACGAGCTGTGGATGGTGGCAAATGCGAGAAGTTAAGAGCGACTTGCAGCAAGCATGGGTATGTTTCAGAGATTGTTGTGAAACATTTTGGCCCCCGAGTGTTTGAACCTCCCGTGACCCTTCTCCTGCGTCGGCAGCCTTGGGTCTCAGGCTGGGACGCCTGCGCGTCTGCCGGCTGCAAAAGTAAGGTTGGGGTTGTCAGTCTTTATAGACATGCAGGGACGTCGCAGCGCTACACGCATAGATACAACTTCAACTGAATAGGTTAACATAGACATGGCTATGCATAATCAGAGTGACTTGGACACGTCATAATCAGGGTGAGGGGGCCGAGCGGTCATTCACTGTCGCTGCGCGCGTGGTTGAAGTGTAGTTCCCTGCGTGTGCGCCAACTGGCAGTAGCCACGTGTCGTAGATGGCGCCAGTCAGCGCGCGAAGCTCCGCCTCATCTGTGAGCACCAGCTTGGCGATGACCACGGCGAGCTCCTCCAGCGACTGCTTCTTGTTGCGTTTGCCGAGGCCTTTGCCTCCTAGCATCAGCTCGCCTCCCTGCTTGCGCGAGATTTTCTCCTTGGGCGGCTCTGCCGCCTTCGACAACCAAGCTGGCCTGCACAACGTTGGAGCCGACATAGCTGCGCCTTCTGGTATCACTCTTCAGCCGACTTCATAAAGTACAAGCAACAACACGAATGACTCGAGGAACATGTGCATAGACGTGTAATTGATTATCTCCGTATTTCTCCGTTGGCCCATCCCGCCACCGTGCTTTGGTTGTAGGTCTAAAGCCTATTGGATGTTCGTTGGGATCTCGTGGGAGGCCTCTCGGGGGCCTCTTGGAGGCAGTTTGGACGCCCGTTTTGGATCCTCGTTGGGTCTCTTGTAGGCCTCTTGGGGGCCTCTTGGGGCCTTCTGGGGGCCTCGTCGGGGCTGGGTGCCTCTTTGGCCTCTTGGGGCCTCTTGGGGCCTCTTGGAGCGGAAGGCTTGGATTTTCTGTTCGTGTTCCCTCTCTTGGGCCTTTCTTTCTGCCGCCTAGGAGCCCTCTTGGGCCGTTTAATCGCCTCTTGGGCCGATTTTAGGCCCGCTTGTGCCGTTCTGGGGCCGTCTTGGGGCGGTCTTGCGGGCTTTTAGGGCCGTCTGGGAAAGGCGAGAACGCCCAAATTTTTCAGGAACCGAAAGAATATATGAGTTTGGCCTGTTGGGGCCTTCTTGGGCGTCTTGGAGCGATCGGTCGGCGACTCGGGGCCCTCATGGACCGTCTTGGGGCCCTCCTTGGGGGCCGTCTACCCTCTTGGGCCCGGATTGATCATGCGGGAACACTTCTCAGTTCCCAGGGTGTTCGCGGGAAGGCCCGGTAGATTTGAGAATTTGGGGTTCAGGCCCTTTCAAGAGTCTTCAAGACTCAGGATTGAGGCTCCAGGAATCAGGCAAATGACCTAAGGACACGCCCACTCCGTGCCCAGAGGTACGGTGGCGGATAGAGCATCTCATCTAGCACGGTTCGACGAATGAGATAATTCAATGACAGTCATGTGAATTGTTCGGGCGCCCAGATGAGCTAAAGCAGTATACTAGAGTTTCGTATAGTTATGCTACACATATGTATGGAAGGGTAGGACATAAGAGTGGTTAGATGAGATGAGTTCGAACCTTTGTGACGTGTTGTAACAGTCAGATGGGGTGTAAGAGATAGAAGACTAGGTTTAGGTTCAAGCCGACGCGACACCAAACGCAAACTGGCATAGTTTGTTGTCGTGAGTGAAGCGCGCCCCTGCCGGAGGACATTTTGTCCGGGTCGCACTTCGATGAGTTCTTGCAGGAGCCACCCTCAGCCCGCTCCTGCGCCGCCATTGCATTTGGCCCCTTGGGAGAAGGTCTAGGAGACGTATGAACAGAAACAGGAAGCCGAGGAGGAGGATAAGGAGGAGCAGGAGCAGCAGCAGCAGCAGACCTCCTCTTCCCTTTCTTCATGCCTCATCCTGAACCCTCTTCTCTCCCATGATCTTCGGTAAAGACGGGATGTGGCAATGAACTTGCGAATATGGATTCGGAAGGGAAGGACAGAGAAGGAAGTTGCGATTCAGGATACTCATGTTGAGGAGTTAGCCAACGAAGAGGAGCAGACGGAAGAGGGGAAGGAACACGATGAGGAACAGGAGATCAGGGCCATGAGATGGTGAAACACATTGAAGACGAGGAGGGGGAGGATGCCGACATCCCCGCGTCACATTCACGGTTTTCCCAACGACTCTTCTTGTTCCTCCCCTCTTTTTGCTCCGTTCTCTCCCCTCCTGCTCGTGTTGCCCTCATTCCCGTTGCCTATCATCTTTGGCGATTGGGAGGATCGACCAGCAGGTTAAGGAGCAGGAGGAGGAGAGAAGGTGAGATGGTGAGGACGAAGACGAGGAACAGGAGGCACATGAGGACAAGGTGAGGTAAGAGAAGTTGGTCTCGACTCCCATCGGCAACCTTCAGTCCAGAGGCTCTCCTCCATTCTGGCTCTCCTGCTATTTCCCATAAGTCCCCTTCCCTTCCGCTGCTGCCCCCTCACCTCGAGGAGGAGGAGAAGGAGGAGGAGGAGGAGGAGGAGGACGACGAAGACTCTGACATCCGACGTCGTGGAAACCAGGACAACGCCAAAACACTGGATCGCTGCCAGAGCTCGCCGCCTCACCATGCTGCCGCACCTGCCGGGCCAGGCTGGGCCGCGAGCCGAAGTTCGGCCAGAGAACGCGCGCTGCGATTTGGTTCACGACCCCTCTCAGATTCGAGGGGAGTTGCGAGGGGGATGACGACGAGGGCCCCTCGGAGTCGGCCCGCGGGCTTCTCCCCGCCCTGCCCGCTCCTGCGGAGGGCTCGAGGGCGGCCCTGGCCGTGACGGCGAGGCCCCCCCCCCCAGGAGGCTAGAGAGGGGAGGAGCGGAGAAGGAGGAGGCAGGGAAACAGGAGGAGGAGGAGGAAGGAAGGAGAGAGGGAAGAGGGAGAGAGTGAAGAGGACAATACAGGGTTGAAGGTAGGTCTGAGTTTCTCCCCTCTCGCCCTCGCTGCCGGGGCCAAACTCGCTTCGAAGTCCTGGTCAGAGAAGGTTGATCGGCAGGTCTGGTCTGAAGTGAGGAGGAGAAGCAGCAGCAGCGGCAGCAGCAGATGGATGAAAACGATGACGATGACGACAACAACCACTGCCACGACCACGGCGACGATGACTGAGGAGACGTCCTCGGCGGCGACGGCGTAGGAGGCGGCAACGGCGACAGCGACCGCGACCACGGCCACGGCGACGAGTGCGATGACGAGGGCGACGACAACGGCAGCGGCGATGACGGCTAGGGCGACGGCGGCGGCGACGGCGGCGGCGACGGCGGCGGCGGTGGCGACGGCGACGACGCGGCGTCGCAGCGCATCGCGACCGCTCGCGCTGAGGCGGCGTGAGCGACCCGCGCTTGGCGCTGGAGGTAGGCTGGCTGGTCTCGGGCGCGGGCCGCCGCTGCCGCGTTGCCCGTGGCGTTCTCCGCGCGCCCGCGCGGAAAGGGCTCCTGCCGCTCGCTGCTCATCCTCGCTTCTCGCTGCGGACCGCGGGAGGGTTCCAGGGCCAGACGAAAGGGGGGGATAGGGAAAGGGGGGGTTACGAAGTCTGCTGCATGCAGCTGGTTTCGGTCCCGCCGACGGGCCCATTCCTCGATACATGGGCGCCTCCAGCGCCGGGAGGCGCCGGGAAAATCAGCTACGTGAGCTGATTCTCGAACCCCCCCCTTGCTATCCCCCCTTTCGCCCGGCCCGAGCTGCTCATCCTCGTTTCTCGCTGCGGACCGCGGGAGGGTTCCAGGGCTCCCTTTTGAGCGGATCCTCGCAGAGGAGAACGGATCCGATCCCGTCGCCCAGGCCACGATCGGGTCGGATCGGATGTCGGGGGTGATGGCGGGCAAGCGGCATAACGTATGAGCACCTCGGCCAACGCCTTCAAAGCTGGCGCGGACCTTAAACTGCAGGCAGATGACGGGTAGGAAGGAGGGGGGGAGGAGCAGGAGGAGGAGGAGGAGAAGGAGGAGGAGGAAGAAAAGGAGGGACCCGAGTAGACTCAGGATTCGGGGAACGAAGGATGACATACACATAACATTCGGAGGTCCGCGCGGATTTCTCGGATCCGCGCTGGACCCCGCTGACCTCAGAGTCTTTATGTTGATGTCATTACTCGTTCAGTGGTCTTCAGCGAGGGGCCGCGCTCTATGCAGCTGACTGTTGCACAGGGTTGCAGCTGCTCACCTTGCCGAAGGAATCGCCGTGCATCCTTGGACTGCTGGGCAACCCTGCATGATGGGGAGCACAGGAGGGGAACGTCTCGTGGAGTCGCCCCAGCTTGAACATGAACCGCCCTCCTTCGGCGTGACGATTGGAAGCTTTTAAGACGATTGGGCGCGGCGCCAGGGCGAGAGCCTCGCCTTGACAACGGACTGCCTTCCATGTTTTTGACTACTGGAAGATTTGAAGACGGACAGCGGGGAGCTAAGGCGAGCGTCCTGTTGAACTGGGCCGCCCTCCTTCTTTGTGACTGCTAAAGCTACCGCTCGCGGCGCTGAGGCGACAGCAACATTCTGAACACCGCCCGCCCTCCATGTGTGCAAATCATCGGAATTCTGTACTCAGGGGTCGACGAGGAGAGCGATTTATGCTGGAGATGGGTGTGGAGGTGGGGGAGGGGAGGGAGGGAGGAGATGGATCAGAAGGGTTGGGAGGGGAGGGATGAGAAGGGGTGGGAGGACGAGGAAGATGATGGAAAAGGGTGAGCGGCGGGAAGAGGAAGAGGAAGGTGAGCGCGACAAGGAGGAGGGGACGATCATATCGTGGCTGGCACTCAGGAAAGAGGGAGGCAGGGAGAAAGAGGGAAGGGGAGGGGAGGAGGAGCAGGAGGAGCAGCTGCAGGACGATCCCGCGCCCACGAGCCGTTGGCAGGGCTCACCACACTCCATCGTAGCTGCGGCGCCCCGAGGCCCTGCAACCAGCGGTCATGTCGCGCGCCCTGCTGGCGGCAGCCGTGCTGGCGCTGGCTGCTCCGCTGGGCTCTGGCCTGGACGCGGGGGCGGCCAAGGAGCGCCCCGTGTCGAAGGTGCCCGGGCTTTTCCCGGGCCATCGCAGACATCGGGGGCGGCAAAGAGGGGGGTGATGTCTAGGGGGGGGGGGATATAATGGCGTGGGCCATGATATTTTTCCAGAGTTCACGGCGCCTCGCCTTGTTTCATTACATCCCCAGCCCCTCCCCCTGGGACGCGCACGTGTCGCCCGTCATGATGTGCACCCCCCCCTCTTGGACACCCCCCTCTTGGCCGCTCCCGAAGAACGCACGTTTCTCTCTTGGGCCCCCCAGTAGATGCCGTGACCACGCCGTGCGGTGAGTCAGTTTGGATTGGGGCTAGCCGCACGGTTTTCGGTCTGGGGGCTTGGGTCGTTCTCCGAGGATGTCTCGGGCAGCCATCGCCTCCAGGGTCCCAGGGTCCCAAATCAGAGCTGTGACGGATCTTGCGGTGATTTCTTTGCGGATTTCGAGGTCACCTCGCGGTCATTTACCGCACCGTGTTGGGACTTGCAGTTTGCCCCATCCTCCTGAGTTGAGTCTTCGTTTTGAATCCGCAGCGCCACGCCCCACCTTTTGCCGCACTCACTCACTCACTCCTCCTCCTCCACCTCGTCCAGTCCTTTTCCTCATAAAGAATCTCTCCCCGTCGCACTCCAAAACGTGTCAGTATGGCATGCCGTTCGTTTCGCTTGAGACTTTTTCACGATTTAGGGCTCTGAAGCTTAAACGTGCAACAGCTTCACGGATCGAGGACGGGTCCTTCTCAAAGTACGGTTCTCTTTTAAGTGGAGCGTGTATCCGTTTTTGAAAGTTCCCCAGAGTTTCGCGGATTGGGGCAGGTGTTTTTTTTGAATGTGGTTCTCGTTTTAGCGCCACCCTTTCTCGTCGTTTGCAACAGTTTCACGGATGGAGGGCTGTTTTTTTGTCAAAACGTGGTTCTCGTTTTGGAGCCGCGCAGAGTTGTGCTGTAAATTTAGCAAGTTCACGGATGGAGGGGGGATCTTCGTCAAATTGCAGCGTTCCTTTTAGAGCCGCGTGCATTCGTTTTAAGTGTTTCTTTGAGTTTTGCGGATTTGGGCAGGTGTGTTTCAACATGTGTTTCTCGTTTTCGCGCCGCGCACTCGTCGTTTGCAACAGTTTCACAGGTGGAGGGCGTGTTGTTTTCATCATGTGGTTCTTACCGTAGCGCCGAGCACATTCGTCTTTCAAGTGTTGCAACAGTTTCACGGATGGACAGCGGATCTCGTTCAATGTGTAGTTTTCGCATTCGCGCTGCGCACACTCGCGTTAAACCGCAGCAGAAACTTCACGGACGGAGGGCGGTTCTTTTTCAAGGTGTGGTTTCGTTCTAGCGCCCCGCACATTCGTTTAAGAAGTGCGTAACAGGCACACGGATGGCAGACGGGTAGTTTTCAACATGTGGTTCTTCTTTGAGCGCCGTGCGCATTCGTCTTCAAAGTCTGCAAGGGTTTGGGGAGGCAAGGGAGGGACGAAGCAACGAACAATGATGGCGGGACGTTGGAACTGGAACACAAAGGAGAAACGACGAGGATGAGGGGAGGCAAGACGGGGACAGGGGAGGATTCCAACGGAGAGGGCATCCGACCAACTGAGAATGACATGGGTGGCTGAGCGGAAGAAGGGAGAGGGCAGAAGTGGGAAGCGGGGGAAGGAGCGGTGATGGGGGAGGGGGGCGGGGAGGGAGAGTTCGAGAGCGGGCGGGGAACGTGAACGGAGACGGGCCACGAGGGCAGGGTGGGCGAGCAGCAGGAGAACGGAGCACGGATGAGAGCGACGAGGGGGGAGGAGGACGGGAGAGGGCGGGGCAGGACCGTCCACGGTGGTAAGAGGGAGGGGATGTGGAGGAGCAGCGGGATTGGAGACGCAACTGCCACCTGCCGCAGGCAGTTCCACGCCCCGGACGCGTGCGCACCGTGAGGGATCGTCTTCTTCCAGACACCCTCCCCCCACTCACTGGCACGCCCCTGCCTCGCGACCCCGTGCCGCGTTTCGGGGCATCTGTGCCGGGAGGGGCCGGGCCGTCTACGACATTTAGCCGATGTTTCTCGACGTGTCCACATATCCGGACGTTGTTGCTCATGAGCGCCCAATATGGCCGCGGCGGGACCCGATTGCCCCCGACGCAGTCTCACCAGGCCCCATCGCCGCACGAGAAGGCCCGAAACGTCCCAAGAATTTCCACGAGCCCCCTGGGAGCCAAAGCCCTTCGCGATCTGACGGTTCAACTGTTCGTGCTTCCCCGATACCATTGGGCCCAGCCGACCCTGCCCCCAGCGGGGACACCGCGGCCAGGCCATCGGTGTATATCATTTAAGCAGAGCTCGCCTCTGCAGGGGTCCTGATAGCCTGTGTATACGCGCATTCGTTTTTTCCCCAAGCAGTGCTTGCGTCTGCAGGAGTCCTAATAGTCCTATAGCCCTACAGCCACATCGCCTTACAGCCCTATAGTCCTATAGCCCTATAGCCCTATAGCCCCATAGCCCTATAGCCCTATGGCCCTGCAGCCCTATAGCCCTATAGCCCAATAGTCAAATTGCCCTATAGCCCTATGGCCCTATAGCACTATAGCCATCTAGCCCTAGTGCCTGATAGCCCTATAGCTCTATATCCTTGTAGTTCTATAGCCCCCTAGCCCCATAGCCCTGCATCCTATGGCCCTATGGTCATATAGCCGTATCGCCCCATAGCCCTACATCTTCATAGCCCTATAGCACTATAGCCCTATATTCCTACATCTCTATAACCTTATAGGCGTATAGCCCTATAGTCCTATAGCCCTATAGACGTAAAGCTCTATGGCCCTGTAGTCCTATAGCCCTATATCCCTATAGCCCAGTCGCCCCACAGCCTTATAGCCCTGAACAGACTTTGATTGGGGATTCTCTGGTATCATATGTGGTGAGTGGTGTACACCGATCTGGCGGGTTTGGTGTATATGTGTTTTTGGTGTATAAGCGGCCGTTGGGTCTTGGTAAGGGGTGTGGCGTATACCAACATCGTGCCCGGAATGCCCTGACATCGTCGCCTCTTGGGGCCGGCTGGGGCCTGCGGCATCGGTTGGCCCTCCCCCTGGAGGGCCTGCCTGCTGACAAGCGGCGCGCGGATTGATTCGGGCCCGCATGGCCTCCAACACACGCCAAAACACTCCTCCGTGCCTCCACTGAACGGATTGGGGAGGCCGCAAGACGCCCACTGACCCCCCAAAAATTCATATGACGATTTGACAATCGAGCTGTGTCCATGAACCTTTTGCCTTCTCGACGTGGCGGTTTGCGTCTGGTCTCTGCGCCTCACGATGACCGCTGGCGCGGCGCGATAGTGGACATCGAAAGCCTTCGGGAGGGACCCGGGCGAAACCGAAGGGCCTCAGTTGATGTTCCAGGAATGGCCCTGCGGGGTCTCCAAGCGCGTTTTCGACTGCGCAATCACAGGGGGCCTAGTTGAAATCGTTTGTTTCTGCGCCTAGCTGGAAAAACAGCCCCGCGATGTGCCTAATGTCCTCTGGTGTTTGCCTTGCAAGCGCGGTTTGTTTCTCCCCAATAAGAACATGCATAATGCGAAAGGAAACGCAAGTGGCCGCGAGACGGACGCACGATCTCCCCGTTGAGTTGCATTGCGGTCTGCGCCTGGTCTGTCTCGTCCGCCATTCCTCCCCTCTCCTCTCCTCCTCATCCTTCCTCCTCCCATTTCCTCGCCCCCCTCTTCCTACTCTGCCCGCGTCCTCTTTCTCCCCGGCCCCTCCTGCCTCCTCCCTCTCCGTCCTCCCCTCCTCTTCTTGCCCTCCTTTACTAGAGGGAAGAAACAGGGAAGCAAACGACGAGTAAGGTGATGGTGCGTGGCGCTGCGAAGCAAGGAATGATTCGGCCGCTGATCGCGGAGGCACGACAACAACGATTTTGGAACGCAATATGTTCCTAGGGCGGCCTCGGTTTACCCGGTGCTGCGCGGGCCAACCTGCCGCAGGCGCGTGCCTGTCACGAACCGAACCTGATCGCGTTGCACCCCAGACCCGATTGCAAACCGCCGGCCGCTCCAACAATAGACCCCCGAACCACGAGCGCGAATCGCCCATTTCAAGCAGCAGACCTCGCCAGAGTATCAAACCCCAGAGCATGTGACAAAAATAATGACTTGCCATGATGACAGCGAGGAGGACGCGAGGGGATGGTGACGGCGATGACGAGGAGAAGGGGAAAAAACGGATGACGCGAACTATTCAAGCAGTAGTCGGGGGTGTTGTTTAATCTCCTACCTGGAGAAAGGTTGCGATGGTCAGAATTTAGGGCTCCCGGCGGCCAGAAACGGTTTATATGTATATTAGTTGTGATCCCAGATGTGATTATCATTATAGTGCCGCGGACGCTAGTTTCAAATGTTTACGCCATCTTGACGGGCGCGTATGGTTGACATCCTAGAACGGGTGAGTCGGCACTGTTTAGGTTTGCCGGGACGCAACAAGTCTCTGCAATGGTGTTCTGGAACGATGCAGGATCGCCAGGACGCAACAATAAAGTGGATTCGCGGCGTTGAAGTCCAAGTCATCGTGATTTGGCGCGATGGGGGATTCTCAGACGGATGTTTTCCAACGGGGCACTTCCAGCAGTGAACATGTATGTTTTGTAGGGGCCATTGAAGAAGGAAATGTGAGGGAGGGTTTTATTGCTACATCGTCCATGCGTCTTGTATTGACACTGGTCTTTCTCCTCCTCGTCCTCGTCCCCGCGCATTCTCCAGCCCAATTCGACACACCCCTCTTACGGATCGTGCCACACGGGGAGCTCCACCGACGCACGGCTCATGTGAGCAAGTTCACAGAGTGCCTCCCGCCCATGACGGTACGTTCGTGGGTCACAAGGATTAGTTTCGCGTCTTTGTGCGCTTGCCCCGCAGCCCTCATATCCATACGCCCCCGCCCGCTGCGCGCAGTGCATGTGGAGAGTACCTCGTTGTCCGCCCACTGCACGTGTTGGGCCCTTCGCGAGGCTAATTTTATTTAGCGGTCGCGCGCAGCGACACGCTGGGAGGTCGCTCGGCCGCAGCACGAGAGGCCAAGCGAGAAAGAGATAGAGAGAGAGAGAGAAACAAAACACCAACAAACCGAGCGAGAGAGAGAGAGAGAGAGGGAGTGAGAGAGAGAGGGAGCGAGATGTCTAGAGCACGTGCTGCCATTGAGAAGGACTTGCCTTTTCGGATGTTGTTTGCCACTTGTTGCCAGCTGTACCTTTGGATACCTCCGGGGTCCTGATCAGCAATGGGATGCAGTGTTATAACAGGGGTGCCCCGTGCGTCCGTGCCGCCTGGGCAACATAGCGATCTATCCTCGACTTGTTTGCCCCAGTCCATTGATTATTTGTGGACGTCCAAGCTTCTTCATACTTAGACCCATGTCATCCTTACAGTGGGATTTGACTGTCCATCCCCCGGATCGGGTTCCCTGGGAGAAAATTGGCGTGCGTTTCGAAGAGGGTCCTGCAGGTTTTGGGGTCAGCTGCGCTTGTTCGACAGGTCACTGAGCAGGCCAGACCAGTCCCGACTTGTGGCTTGCGATTCGAGAGATGGCCTTGATCGGAGGACTCAGCCCTGGAAAATGCAATGCATGTTTGTAGGGGTCGGGTTCTCTGTTGGTGTCATCTCTTCACGTCGTTGGGCCTCGGCCTTCGAATGTCAGGCGGTTCTCTTCCATGCCCATTTGCAGTCGTGGCCTGGAGAGAGTAGATGGGCCTCCTTGGCTCTAGTTCGTGTCCTCTATGCGCCAGCCTGGGGCCCAGGGTTGGCCTGGCCGAGCGTGTCGGTAGTGCCTGTTAGAGAGGGAGGAGGAGGAGGAGGAGGAGGAGGAGGAGGAGGAGGAGGAGGAGGAGGAGGAGGAGGAGGAGGAGGAGGATGAGGAGGAGGAGGAGGAGGAAGAGGAGGAGGAGGAGGAGGACGTCCCTCTTGGCCATTCATGACCAGGTTGGAAACCCAGTGCTGACCCCGAGAGGGCCTCCCTACTCGCTCCCACGCTGAGCGGCCTGGTTGTGGGCATGCACGGTCATGTTTCGATTATGACTGGCTGCCAGGTGATTTCCATCCTCAAGGACATGCTCAATACCTTGCAGAAAGAGCAGGATGAGGACGAGGAGATCTACGACAAGCTTGCCTGTTGGTGCGAAACCAACGACAGAGAGAAGACGAAAGCGATTAAGGAGGCGGAGGAACGAATCGCCGCCCTCGAGGCCTCCATCGAGGAGGACACGGCGTCCAGTGCGCAGCTGAACACGGAAATAAAGAATGCTGAGCAGGAGGTGGCAAAGCACCAGAAGTCGCTTGACGAGGCTACCGCGATTCGCGAGAAGGAGCTGGCAGAGTTTAACGAGGAGGATACAGGGAGAGAGAAATAGCACCAGTACCGGTGAGACTTCATTGGCTCGTTCTGGTGCCAGACCTTCTCGGAATTCTGCGGCCTCTCGGCCTTGCCGGGAGCTTGTGTCCAGCAGAATGTGATTCCACTGAGTATGCGAGGGATTGCTTCTGGGGGTCCGACAAGCATGGTTTGAGATGGAAACATCAGTATCCACGGCCTCGTTGGCAGGAGTCCTCGGCCGTGACCCAGAGGAGGCATGAATTGGACCGCGTGCGATTGCGCCTCGATATCCAGACCGCCAGGCCTCCAGGTTCCTGGGTTCTCTGTTCCCGGTCTGGATTTCCCAGTGTTGTAAGATTCCCGGATTTTCTATTCCAAAATTGCGACCAAGTGCCGATGTATTTGCGGCCACGGTCAGAATGAGATAGTAGAAAGTGTAGTTCGAAGAGCCCATATCATAAAGTAAAGAGCAACATTCAGAGATTTCGTAGTTTACCATTTTGAAATGCACGCGTCATAGTTGTATCTTTGGAATGGGAATACATACAGATATGCGTGCACAGAATCCGAATCGAGATAGAGAGTGGCACACCGTAGAGACATTTATATTTATATATAGGCACATGCATATACACATTCACCTTTACAAGCGCATACACACATAGACAGAGTGAGAGAGATGACGTATCAAGTACACATTGAACAGAGAGAGTGGTTTCCCAATCAGTGTTTGCACTGAAGGGGTCCTTTCGGAGACTGAACGAGTAGACGACAGTGGCTGGGCCAAATGCATTGGGCGGCCAGTGGTCTTTCGTGTTCATGTTCTGGGTCCAGGGCTCATGGTTCGGTTTGTTTTAGGTTATCAAGTTCTCCTGGGTGTTTGCGACCAGATGCACAATGTGATTTTGGGGATAACATAGAGCGTGATGACGACAGATCAGAGAGCAGAAAGCATTGTTCAGCAGAGGGGATGCATAATACAGGTCGGAGAGCTGAGGGGAGATCGAACCTTGAGGGAAGAAAGAGTAGGCGTGGTAGTAACACACACCTCTCTATTAACAGAGAGAAAGGGAGGCGGAGTAGACAACGATATAATGAGTCAGGGAGAGAGAGTGGTTACGACTATGGATCGCAAGTCGGAGGGTGACATTGAAGTGAAACGAAGACCCCCCCCTTGGAAATCGGTTTCGTGTTCGTGTCTTGCGTGCGGGCGACGCGAAGCTGTGCGGGCGTGTGCCAGCGGAGGGCCGTGGCCCGGGGGGGCGGTGTTCCGCCGGTCGCCGCTTGTTTGGGCTTGCTTTCCTTCGCTTGGCCTCGCTTGGCCTCGCTGCGGGGTGGCGTGGCCGGAGGGCGGTGCCCTGCCGGTGGTCACTCGCTTTCCTTCGCTTGGCCTCGCTTGGTCTCGCTGTTGTCACGTGGTGTTCCGTGGTCTCCGTGGGACACCCCCAGGACTATTACGGGACACCCGCGGGACACCACGGGACACCCACGGGACACTTGCGGGACACCACACCCAGGACACCCGCAGGGCACCCGTAGTGAGATCGATTGTGAGAACGCCACCATAGTGCCACCACGGGACATCCACGGGACACCACGGCACACCCACGGGACACCCGTGGGACACCACACACGGGACATCCCACGGGACACCCGTGGGACACCCATAGTGAGATCGATAGTGAGATCGAGAGTGACATCGAAATTGAGATCAATGGATAGATCAATGGAAAGAGAGTGCAATCGATAGTAAGATCAATGCATCGTGAGACCTTCTCACCCGAAGGGTGGTCCTGTAGGTGCATATCGGAGGTGAGGGGGTGAGTTCGAAGTGAAACGGAGACCCACCCACTGGGAAATCGGTTTCGATTTCGTGTTCGTGTCATGCGTCCAGGCGAGGCGAAGGTGCGCGGGCGCGCGAGAGTAATGATCCCGCCGTCGCCAGGGCAATTCGGATGTACAAGTCCAGCCCTCCGGTGTGCGCGCGGTAGCCCGGGGTGTTCCGCCGTGGTGTCTCGCGGTGTCCCGATGGTGTCCCGCGGTGTCTCGTCGTCGGCGCGCAAGAGGAATTATCCCCCCCCGCTGGGGCGATTCGGATGCAAAAGTGAGGCCCCTCCAGTGGGCGCGGTGTGGCTGGGGATATACCGCCATTTTGTCCCGCGGTGTCCCGATGAAGTCCCGCTGTATCCCGCCGTGGTGTCCCGATGGTGTCTCGTGTTGTCCCGTGGTGTCCCGTGCTGTCTTGCGGTGTCCCAGTGGTGTCCCGTGGTTTCCCGATGGTGTCCCGGTCCATAGTTAGAGATCGATAGTGAGATCGATAACGACCGATATGTGATCAGATCGGTCGTGAAATCGATAGTTGGATCGATCGTGAGGTCGATCGTGATATTGGTAGTTGCATCGATCTTGCGAGCGGCAGTGCGATGGATAGTGAGATCGATAGTTGCATTGATAGTGCAATCGATAGCGAGTTCAATAGAGCGGTCGGTTGCGAGATCGGCAGTGAGATTGATAGTTTGATCGATTGTGAGCTCGATTGCGAGGTCGATCGAATTCGCTTCAGGTAATGAGACATCGACAGTGAGATTGGTCGAGTGAGGTCGATAGTAAGATCGATTGTAAGATCGATAGTGAGATCGATAGTCAGATCGACTGTGGGATCGATCGCGAGATCCGTTGAGTGAGATCGATTTTGAGATCGGTTGTGAGATCGATCGAGTGAGATCGATTCTGGGATGGATCCATCGTCACCAACATCGTCATCATCACATCCATTGCAGTTGCCAGCAGTTGGTTATTTCCGCTCCCCCCAACCTCTTTATCCACCTCTTTATCACCCGATGGGCGGTCATGTAAGTACATCTAATGGCCTTCGGTTCATCCCGCCACCGTGCCTATGGAGCCTATTGGATGTTCGTTGGGATCTCGTGGGAGGCCTCTCGGGGGCGTCTTGGAGGCAGTTTTGGGGCCATTGGGGGGCCTCTTGGAGGCATTTTGGACGCCTCTTGGAAGCCGTTTTGGGGCCTCTTGGGACCTCTTTTGGATCTCTATGGGGTTTCTTGGGTTCTCTTGGGGGCCTCTTCGGGGCCTCTTGGTGCCTCCTGGGCGCCTGTTGGGGCCTCTTGGGGGCCTTTTGGGGTGGAAGGCTTGGATTTTCAGTTCGTGTTCTCTCTCTTAGGCTCCTTCTGGAGCCGTCTTGGGGCCCTCCTGGGACGTCTGAAGCGCCTCTTGGGCCGTCTTGGGGCGCTCTTGGGCCATTTTGAGGCCCACTTAGAGGCCTCTTGGGCCTTTTCTGGGCGATCTTGGGCGCCTCTTGGAATGGCGTCGAGAGTCGGAAAGCCGAACAGGCGAAAAGGCCGAAATTATTCAAACATCTTTGGGAAATCACTGATTGTTGCCTCTCGGGGCCCTCTGGGGGAGGCCTCTTGGAAGCCTCGCGGGCCGTCTTGGAGGCCTCTTCGGCCGTCTGGGGGCCATTTGGCCGTCTTGGGCTGATCCTGTGTTGCCTCGGGGCCTTCTTTGGGCCGTCTTGCAGGCCTCTCGGGGCCCTCTTGGCCCGTCCTGGGGACCTCTGGGGCTTGAGAAGTTCACGCGCCACCGCTCGCCAGAGCCCGGGGGGGCACGGGGAAGCCCCGGGGACGCGCTGGAAGCCTCGGGAGGCACGCGGGAGGCCCCAGGAGATTTCGGAATTCTGGGGTCTGGGCCCTGTGAAGACTCCGCATGAGTGAGGATTGAGGCTCAGAGGATTCTTAGGCTTACGCCACACCGCCGACCCCTTGTTTATGCCAATCTGGGGGTAGTAGAAGCTGCGAAGGGGTGAAAAGGCGAGTGATATTTGTTTGGTGTCTGTTCGCCGCCACCGCCAGAGGGTCTCGGGCAGTAGGAGGAGGAGAAGGGGGACACGGAGAAACGGCTCTGGGTTATGGGTTATGGGTTAGAGGCGTCTTGTATGAGTGAGGATTGAGGCTCAGAGGATTCGGCAAGGGACCTGAGGGCACACCCACTTCGTGTCCGGAGGCACGGTGGCGGATGATATGTAACATAACCAGATACGCGGGGCTCCCTCTCGGAGCGTCCTGCACCTCGCTCACATCTGGGTTACGTTTCCGGTACCGCGCTTCCCGGACTCCCCGGGAGCTCCCAACATGCCCAAAGACAGCCCAAGACGACCTTAAGAAGCCCTTAGAACGTAAAAGAAAGACCCAATAATCCCCCAAGCAACCCAGGATAGCTTTCGGGCGGCTCTCCAGGCTCCCAGGAGGCCTCCAAGAGACCTCAAGAGAGCTCCGAGAGGCCTCCCGAGAGCGCCCGGAGAACCTAAAATCGTTAATTGTATTTTTTTAATGGTTTTTGGCCTTCTCACAATTTCATGCTTTCAACGCTCCAAGACGGCCGAAGAGGCCCCCAAGACCGCCCCAAGACCGCCCAAGAGGCCCCCAAGACGGCCAAAGGCCCCAAGACTGCCGAAGAGGCGCCCTGGAAAGCTCCTGACCACTCCAGAACAGGCTCAAGATGAGCCCAAGAGCGGGAGCAGGAGGCCGCCAGAGACCTCCGATAGGATTCCGGGAACCCCCAGAGGCCTCCAACACACCCCAGACAATTGAGAGGCCCCCAAAAAGCTCCGACGAGGCCCCCAAAACAGCCCAAGAGAGCTTCGAGAGCCGTCCCGAGAGAGCCCGAAAAGAGCAAAATTGCTGATTTCCAGCGGTTTTTGTCGCCGTTTTTAGCTTTCTCACGTTTTCCCGCTTCCAACGCTCCAAGACAGAGGAATTTGACAAAAGAGGGAATTCCAGAGACTCCCTTTTTTCAAATATCAAGGAATTTCTTCCTTTGCTAACTAACCACTCTGCCTGTTGGTCACGCACAGCGCGCGCACGCTCGCGGGGGCACGTCAGTCTGGTGCTGGATGCCCCGGGGTTCTGGGGCGATGGCCCGAAAGCCCAAGAACTTGATAGGCCGTACGCGATCAACCGAAAGCAAGTGAGACGCATCGTTTATTCTGAGTTTATTCTCAAAGAGTTTTCGGGTGACCCACCCACAGGTGAAATGTACGGAGTCGGAGTGCATCAACTCAAGTTGAGGCCCACAATGCAATATAACAGTGAGCTTGGTTCAGCCAGTGTTCGGGTGACCCACCCGCTGGTTTGTGACTTGTGCGGTGCGCGCCTTTCAGTGGAAGACGGAGTAGGAATGCAGCAATTCATGTTCAGACCCAGGATGAAAGTGAAACAACGTGGTTGCCTCAACCAGATCGCGTGTGTCCCACCTGCTGGTGAACCACTTGTGTGGAGTAAGAGTGCACCAGCTCCTGCTGAGAACGAGATACGAGTCAAACCATTTGTTTTGCTCGACCGGTTCCCGGGTGACCCACCCGCTGGTGGGTCACTTGCGCGGCGCGCGCTCCACAGGGGAAGGGAGTCACATGGAGTGGGAACGGAACAACTCATGTCGGGGGAGCGTAAGACCCGGGTTTGCCAGGACTCGGGTTCGCCATCGTTTTTTGACGACCGCGACTCGGATTTTGACGAGGAGGAGTTTTGTGGGATGTCTGCAGCGGGAGGCCTCGTCAAAATGCAGGCTCGGCCTCGTCGTTTTTTTGACGACCTCGTCGGGGATTTCCGAGTCCCCCGTACCCGGGTCTTGCGTCTCCCCGATCCTGGGCGGGGGGCCCGGCAGAGGTTCCGCCTCGCACGGAGCGGCCCCTCGAGCCAGGGGGTTCCAGGGGCTCTGCCGGCGGAGGGCGTGTCGAGCCGGACCGGACGAAAGGGGGGGAGAGTTCAGGAGGGGAAGGATTAAGGAGGAGGAGGATTAAGGAGGAGGGAGGATTCCTCCTCCTTAATCCTCCTCCTTCCTCCTTAAGTTGAGGCCCAGAATGCACATGAACCAAGTGGTGTCACTCGCCAGTCTTCGAGTGACCCACCCGGCGGTGGGTCGCCCGTGCGGCGCGCGGGCCACAGCGGAAGCGCATGGGGCAAGCGCGCGCCAACTCATAGTGATCTTTCAACCAGTTTGCGGGTGACCCACAGGGTTGGAGGACGCAGGACGGGTTGGAGGAGGGGAGGAGGAGGAGGAGGAGGAGGAGGAGGAGGAGGAGGAGGAGGAGGAGGAGGAGGAGGAGGAGACCTGGCAGATTGCACGACATTCCCTTCGTCCTGGCGCCGCACCAGGCACATTCCCATCTTTGCTGGTGGGTAATCTGTTTGGCGCGCGTTCCACAGGGGAATCGTTCGGGCTCGGAATGCACTGGCTCATGAGGCCTAGAATGGAAGAGAGACAATTGGTTCGTCTCAACCAGTTCTCGGGTGACCCACCCGCTGGTGGGTCACCTACGCGGCGGGCGCTCCTCAGGGGAAGCTCATGGATTCGGAATGCGGACCAGAGTGCAAGTGTCACCGCTGGTGTTGCTCATCAGTTATTCGGTGACCCACCCGCTGGTGGGTCACCTGAGCGGCGCGCGCTCCACAGTGGCAATGTAGTAAGTAGAAATGCAACAACTCATGGTCAGGCCCAGAGGCCGAGTTCCACAATTGGCTGGTCTGATGAAGCTGGGCACACAGCTGTTTTTACAGTTGAGAAGTCTATGTTTTTTTGCAAGGCCCGAAGCGAGCATGTTCGATCGCCTTGGGTTTCTTGATGTCAAATTGATTTCAGTCAGCGGCCGAGATACCGCTCGGGTCAGGGTACCCCGGGTTTCTTTGTTTGCAGCTGGAGTGCAAGAAACCCAACCTTGGACCAAGAGACTTCGGCGGATTTCAGGGTTGGGTTTCTTGCGGTGGGTTGCTTGTGGATTAGCCTCCACTATAGTGAGACCGATTGGTAGTCAGGTGGATATGGTGTAGTACCGATGGCCATACCAGTCGTGAGATCGATGAGCAAGCAATGAGGCCGATAGTGAGATAGTGCGGTCGATCGTTAGGTCGATGGCGGAACCGATAGATAGTGAGATCGATAATGGGACCCGCAGTGAGATCGAAGATCATACAATCAGATCGAACGTGTGATCGAAGCGATATTTCTAGTGATGCCGATAGTGGGATCTATAGACAAATAGTGGACGGATTGACCACCATGATGTCCCGATTGCGTTCCGATGGTGTCTTGGTGGTGTTTTTTTTTTATCTATCTCTTCCAGGATGTCCCGATTGTGCCGTGTCCTGTTCCGATGGTGTTCCCCCAACATCTTTTTTATCCCCCGAAGGGTAGTCGTATAGGTACCTGTGTGTATATATATATATGCATGCACACATAGATGCTCAATGGAAAGGAAACGAAGACACACATAAATAAAGATAGAGCTAGAGCGAGCGCGAGTGAGAGAGAGGGCAGGCGTGGATCGCATGCGAACGTTGCTGACCATCCACGTTGTGGTTCGGGTTTCTCTGTGCTCTTGGTCGCTCGGGTAGCTCTCTTTCGGCCCGCGCCCCCCGAGGAGAAGGAGATGCTGCAGGCCCTCTCGGCCCTGAAGCAGGCGGTCACGGTCCTGGCGAAGCACCACGGCGGCGCGTCCTCCACCTTCCTGCAGGTGCCGAAGAGCAGCATGCTGAGCGTGGCCGCCAGCCTGCAGCGCCTCACCGCGAGGCACGCCGATCACCTCTTTCCCTTGTGTCCCTCCCTCCTCGTGCTTCCCCCCCTCTTTTTCGTGCTCTTCCTCTCTCGTCCAGAGCTTAGAGCCTCGCGTACTGAGCGCAGGGAGCCACCCTCATGCCTGCGTTGCATCAGCCTCGTGCCCCGCCCGAGCCCATTGCAGGATCGGGCACGGATCGGAAACCCAAGCCGACGTTGCGCGCGCGCCTCGTGCCCCTTCCCCTTCCTCCTCCGTCGTCGTCCGTCCACTTCCCTCCCGGCTCCGTGCCTTCGACGAGCCGCTGCGAGGGAGGCATGCCCACCCTGCCCTGCCTGTACTCTCTTTGGACGCCGTCCTGCAGGAAACCCTGGGGGAACTGCCCGTGCTGATCCCTCATCCATACCCCCCTTCCGTTTGCCCCCCCCTCCTCATCCTCCCTCGTGTTTTTCCAGTCTGCCTTCCCTCCTCCCCACTCCCTCCAGCTTCCCCTCCCCGCCCACCTCCCACTTTGGCTTAAGCCACTTTCGGCAAAGAAGATGCCCATTTTACTCCCACCTTCAGTCTTAGCTGTTTTTTTTTCGTGCCCCCCCCCTCCATCCAGAGCGTCGGGAGATGGCAACCCATGTTGGAACTCCTGGTGTCACAGGCATGGCGGGCCCCGCTGTGCCGACAGTTCATCTCGACGACATGGGCGTAGACAGAGACGACAACGACGTCCTGAGAGCCCCCGCGGCCAGAACAGGAAAGTTCCGGTTCGGTTCGGTCCGGTTAGGTTCCGAAGCGCCTCCAGTTCGGTTCGGTTCGGCTCGGTGTCGTAATCTTCCGGTTCGGTTCGGTTCGGTACGTTTTTTTTTTGTTTCCGGTTCGGACCGTTTCCTGTTCCGGTTCGGACCGGTTCCGGTCGGGCCCCAAACCCCCAAAGGCTCCAAAGGGGCCCCAAACCCCCAAAGGGGCTCCTTTGGGGCCCCAAATGGGCCCCAAACCCGCATAAGGGTCCCAAGGGACCCCCAAAAGGGCTCCAAACCCGCATAGGGGCCGTCAAGGGGCCCAAACCCCCAAAGGGCCCCAAAAGGAGGCCCACAGGGCCCCCAAAGGGGCCTTAGGGGGGCCCAAACCTCCAATAAGGGCCCCAAAAAGGCCCCAACCCCCCAAAGAGGCCCCAAACCCGCATAGGGGCCCCAAAAGGGCCCCAAAGGAGCCCCAAACCCCCAAAGGGGCCCCAGAGGGGGCCCGAAATAGCGAAAAACCTCCTCTTGAGATTTTTTCACAGCGCCTGGATCTGGGGGTTGTCGTCATCGTCGTCGTCGCCGCTGGTCGTCCTCCCTCCTCCTCCCTCCGTGGCCAGTTTTCCGGTTCGCTCCGGTTCGGTACGGTTCGGGCGGGCTCGGCGGGGGGAGGTTCGGCCCGGTTCGGAGTCACGGTTCGGTTCGGTTCGGTTCGGTGTCGTAATTGTCCGGTTCGGTGCGGTTTGGTTCCCATTGGCAAAAAAACGCCGGTTTGCGCCGGTTCGGTTCGGCCCGGTTCGGTTCGGCCGGTTCGGCTCGGTTCCGGAACCATTTTGCAGAAGAGTTCGGACAGGGCCATACATTTTTTTCCGACCCAGCTCCAACTGCATAACGTCATTGTCAACTGAAAGCTTCGAGGATGGACAGATCCGTCTCTTGAGTGCCGTGGGCGCTATGATCAAGGATGCGACCACCCCCCAGGACCACATGACCGATCATATGCAGATGGAGGTCGCCACAGTCAGGACTACAGTTGCCGACATTCAGACCAAGCTGGCCTCTTTCGATTCCGAGCTGCCTTTGAGGTGGCCCCGCGAGGGAGCGGCGCGACGCCAGCTTCGTGTACATCGGCTCATGTCTCGGCCACCCTGGCCTCCGCTCTCTCTCTCTCTCTGCCGTTTCCATTGCAGCTTGCGTGCCCATGAGTAGGCGCAAGGTGATGTGCGTCGGGGGCTTCAACTACGAGTCGGGAGACTTGCTCGTGAAACAGATCAAGACTGAACCCGACGCTCGACACATCCGATATAAAAAAAGTCATTCCCACAGGAGGGTGCCGCGAGAGGGTGCGCATTAGATTCCACAGTTCAGGCCAGATGTGGATGATGCTCAAGGCCATGAAGGGCAGAAAGTTCCAGGGAGGCAACCTCTTTGCTTCTGGCCGTCAACACCTCTGGCACGGCAACGACAAGCTGGGCTGGGAGATCGGCGTAAGCAAGGAGCAGGTGAAGTCGGTCCAGATGTTGGAGCCTGTAGTCAAGGCGCTTTTTCCAACACATCAGGCTCATGATTTCGCGGCCGCATGCGACATCGAGAATGACAAGGGCGAGGTGATCTTCTCGCCAAACCGACTTCCCGGCAACGCGCACATGGGAGGCCCGATCAAGCTCTTCGATTGCGACCTGTCCACGCACAAGCTGGAGATCCCGGCCACGGCGGGGGCGCTCCTCGCGGACCTCCGCCTCGACCTCCAGCTGAACGGCCACAACGGGGCGATCCAGGCTGCTGGCGATCCGCGAGGTGGCCCCTCTCTTGCGATCAGGAGATGGCGACGGCGGAGGATGCTTGACCGTTCCTGTTGTATCAGTTGGACTGCGAGAGCTGCGTCGCCGAAGGAGATGCCTGACTTCGCGAAAGATTTAGAGAGAGAGAGAGAGAGAGAGAGAGAGAGAGAGAGAGAGAGAGAGAGAGAGAGAGAGAGAGAGAGAGAGAAAAAAAAAAAGAGAGAGAGGAGAGAGAGAGAGAGAGAGAGAGAGAGAGAGAGAGAGAGAGAGAGAGAGAGAGAGAGAGAGAATACAAAGAGAGAGAGAAGAGAGAGAGAGAGAGAGAGAGAGAGAGAAGATGATCCTTGGCGCATGCTTCTTTTGCAAGAGTGCTTCGCCCTACGCAGCGCACAACCTCCAGAGCGCATCGACGGGCATCGCGTGATTGCGCCCCCCCCCCCCCTCCCCCCCCCCCGGGCGGTAGGGACAGGCAGAGTGCGATCGTCGTCCATCGGGACTGTGGCTGGTTCGTCCTCGAGGTGGTCCAGGGTATCCACTGCGTGGGCGCCGCGCGCGAGCAGTCTGAATTCGGTCGTGCGCTCGCGGTGCCCCCGCACTTGCATCCTTCGAAGTCACGACATTTACTGTTGGACAGTTTGGGGCCAGTCGGTGCTGGGTGAAACCAGAGTGACCATTGGCATGGGCGCTGGCGCTCATTTGGGATCGATGGCTGACTCCGGCCTCGTCTCTACCCACATCGGCTCCTTCTCCCGCCCCCCGCGCGAACCCCCTCGGCTCGACAAGCTCGCTGGGAAGGCGGACGAACTATATCGTCTACTGGTCGATGACTTAGGACTACGGGCTGAAAAGACGCTTCATTGGCGCCGCCACGGCCACTGCGCCCACTTCCCTGACCCAGGCCAGAGGCGCGACCCCAAACATATCGAGTATCTTCGGCGACATGTTCCGTGAATTTCACGACCGCCACTACTTCGGACCGCGCCCCGCCGAAGTTCCAGACCAAGGCCCAGGACCCAGGAAGCAATTGGAATATTGCTGCTCAGCGTGGCCCTTCCCCCCCCCAAGCCGATCAATTGGGCTTGCTTCGACTTCGCTGCACATCGACATGCTTTGGGCGATTCCCCGGGCATCGATCGGGCGACGAATGCATTTTTTCAAGGATGAGGACGCTTGCGGTTTATTCCTGGACTGATCGGTCTTCGATAGAATTCGTCGATTTCGTGAGCGACCTCGGCGCTGACTGTTGGGGTGTGCTGGATGGGGCTTCGCAGAGTTCAATGCGGCGTGTCCTACAGCGGGTGCGTCCCCGATTGCCCAGGCACGCGGTCCTTTTGTCTTGGGCCCCGCCGACCCGCTCTTCGTAGGCGCGCGCAGGGAGTCGAACAACGCCGCCGGACCCACGGCACCGATCGAAGCTTGTCTGTGGCTACTATGCCAGAGCACCCACCCTGAAGAGACCCCCCGCCCCCCCCCCCCCCCCCCCCCCCCCGCATTGTTAATATATCAAGTTCATTTTCGGCCCCCGATGCGCGCGGCAGATTTTATGGTGCAGATGGCGCGCCCGCAGCAATTTGAACTTGGTCGCCGCACTGCAGGCAGTCTGGCACGCAGCTTGTCAGCGCCATCAGGTCTGCCCCCCAGAGCGGCGCAAGGGCCGCTCTAAGGACGCGGGCAACTCCGCGGCGGACCTCCTCGCCAAGGCAGGCTGATTCGGGAAGCATGCCGCCCTCTGGCGGCCTGTGCTTTTGAAATGTCCAGCTGGTCGCGAGACTCCTGGAAGGCCCTCCATGATTCCTGGGCGCCCCCTGTGGTTGAAGAGGTGACCTGGGGCATCCCTCTGTCCTTCGACCGCTCGCCGACTTCCGCCCCCGCCCCGCCTCTGCCCCCCCCCCCCCCCCGTAGATGACCTCGCCACCGAAACGATGCGCGTCGCCCGCGCGACCCCCCCCCCTCTTCCCCCCCCCCCCCCCCCCCCCCCCCCCCCCGCGACGACCCCGAGCCCCCCCCCCCCCCCCCCGACGCTGACCCTCAGTTCCTCCCCCTTACGGGCGCCCCTGGCCGAACCCCACCATCGCTTGCCGACCTCGCTACCGCTGTCGCGATTGCCGCCGAGGCCTACGGTGAACGACGTTCAAAAGGTCCCTCTCGGAAGCCATGCGCAGACCAAACGGGCCGCGGATCACCCGGAGATCCGACACTTTGATTGCGCGGCTGACACGCTTGCGCGCCAGCAGATCCGCCGCGCCAGGCACGGCCAGGATTGAGAGCGGCTCTTACAGCAAGGGTGATATGATCGCATCGCATCCCCCCCCCCCCCCCCCCCCCCGGCAAGGCAGCATGCTTAACGAACAGGGCGGTCTCGCAGACAACCCAGATGATATTCTGAAGCTAGCATAAGATTTCTCTTCCGACCTACACCGCTCGCGAGACGTTCGACCCGCCCCCCCCCTTCCTGGATTTTGCAAGGGCGGGCCCGGGTGGGTCCCCAGGTGGTTGGCAACATTTCGGGATGCAGGGTCCGTCAGATCTTCCTCTAGATGAAGAAGGGGAACTCCTGCCCTCGAAACGAAATGCTCGTCGTCGAAAAGTCCCTGGACGGTTCAGATGAGTTCTATGACATCCTCGCCTCGCGGTTCGAGCTTAGGCTGCTGAACGACCCGGCGATGGACTCCCCAACGGGTTGGGGCGAGCGTGGCGTGCACTTGATCGAGAAAACGCGTAGCCCGCTATTCATGAAGAAGTGCAGACCGATAGCCGTGCTCTCAGCTCTGTGGACGGCCTATATGCGACTACTCTTAGAGCAAGGGAACCAAGCCTCGAGACCGATCTCGCCGCATCAGTCTACCTTCAGACCAGGCCACCTATGATTGCGTCGGCCACGGTCTGGTGCCACGCTTGTAAGCTCGCTGGCATCCCTGACATCCTGACTGCGGCCATGATCCGTGAATTGCGCCGCGGACGGGGCCGACTCATGGCCCCTCGCCTACCTCCTTCGAAACTTGTATCCAGGACCAGATCGATATTCCAAGGCGGCCCCGACGGACCGATAAAATGCAACATCATCATGGACCGCGCCCTCGCGCTCCCATCCCTCGCACTCTGTAAGCAGCGTGGTTGGGGATACCCTATTGACCACCATGACCTCCGGGCTCCTGGTGTCAATTGTTTGCGCACCAAAAGAAAGATGAACACAACGGAGGCCTACGGCGTATCCCCATCTTCATCCCCGCTGACAATTTTTGGCTGTTGGGCGTCAGCGCCGCCATGGTCACGCGGATGACCAACGCTTGGCACGGGCTCGTTCGGGCAGCTGGCTGGTGCGTCAACCTCCACGGCGTCGAGTGGATCTCGACGGAGGACACTCCGGCTCAGATCACGATCCAGGATGTCTGGGATCAGCAGCCCCCCAAGCTCTCGGCAGCAGTACCTCCCAGGAGAAAATGCAGACACGCCCCAAAAACGAGACCCCTCAAACTTTCAAGTACACCGCGAAAGCTCGGGATCAAGGTGCTCGGCCATCAGATCTCCTTCGATCGCAACGCGTCGATCGAGGTGGACAGAAGGATTAGAGCCGCGCGGGCTTGTTTTACCAGACACAAGCTTCTTCTTACATGCCGAGCAGGCACGGTCAGTAAGAAGCTTCGTCGTCTCCGTCGCGTTGTTCTCCCTGCCCTGTCTTGCACCGCTGGCACCCTCCACTTCGCCCAGACCCACCTCCAGAAGATGCAGGCCATCCAGATCCGTATGGAACGAAAGGTTTTCAGAAAGAAAATGCCCGCACCGCCCCCCAAAACGACCCACCCACCCCCGCCCCCGCCGACAACGACGACGACGAGCAATGACATGTTGAATCTGTCCTTTTCCAGCGTGCCAGAGGTGCCCTCGGATCCGAATCCCGCCGCGGACCCGGAGGCTCGCGCCCTGGCCGACCTTGTGGAAGAGGTGGATGAGTTTGAGGATTTTCAGGAGGATTCCATAGGCGACCATTTCGCTCATTCAAACGCCCTGAGGGCCCACTATCTGGGCAAGCTGGGTCTCAAGCGCTGGGATGTAGTGTGGCCCCAGAGAGTCTCCGATTGGTGCGGCCACGTTGTTAGGCTTCAGAAGCATCCGCAGCATAGACTAGCACTCCGGGCGTTGCGATGGCGAGGTCATAAGTATTTCTCAGCTGTCAACATACGTTTTGGAATGCAGTTGCACGGGTATTGCTTCAAGCCTTGGATGTGGGATGATCAGTTTAAATTCATTCTAGGCCTAGACTTTGAGTTTGCTGGCGTCGACCCAGAGTTTTTGGCAAGACCTTCGAGAGCCTTCGCTGACGAAGCGCCTGGCGAGACGTGCTACGTGATCCCCAACGCGCTTAGTCGCGCCCTCCTTATTGTCTTTGCTTTTTATTTCCATCCCATCTGCCACTGTGTATAGTGCCCATATGTTGACCTTCGACCTGCGGGGGTATCATCCTCATCGTAGCAGAGTTCAGATCAGAGACCCACTTCCCGCGCCCCCGCGTCCCTGGTAAAATCGTCCAGCCTCCTTTGCCTCAATGCCTGCCTCCTCCCTGGTTTCACTCTTCCTCCCTGATTCCACTCGTTCTCCCATGTCTCTTACTCATGCCACCGTCCCTCCATCTGCTCATCTTCCAGACATCCTCGTCCTCTCTACACCCTGCTGCTCCCCATGCTCCAAGCTGCGTTCACTCTTCCTTCCTACTCCACCTCCCCCCCTCCCGCTGGGGCTTCGAAGATGAGGGAGTAGGATTCGGGAGGAAGGATGATGAACATGAGGGGCGATGGGGGGGCAAGAGGAGCAGGCGCAGGGAGGAGGGAGGAAAAAGGAGGAGGAGGAGGGCGAGACGGATACACATGATTATGTCAATAAGATTGTAGAGCCCGCCTTCCCTTCGCAGGACGGTCTTGACCCGCTCGCAGCGCCGGGTGGTTGCCTCCTTTGTCCAGTCCGTTCACAAGGAGGGCTACGCGCCGCAGTCTGGCGAGATTTTCGGCATCCTGGAGCAGATGAAGGAAACGTTCGAGAAGGACATCCAGATAATGACAAATATGCACAAGCAGAATTTTATTAGCATGTTGTAGAGGTCCCCGTGGATCTCTTTCATCGGCGTCGGAACCCACCTAACGGCCCCTCCGCCGCCGCCCCTGGCGCGTTCCGTGCGCGTGGGGAGGGAGGTCCAGCGCCGATCCAAGAAGTCCGCGTCGACCTCCGAAAGGTTTTGTTTTTGGAGCTTGATGTGATTCTAGACGTCTCCAAGGGTGTCCGCGGCTCGGTCGGTTTGACTACTGTACAGTCGACGGCATACGATCGCTTCGGTCGGTCGGGTTTCGGTTTTGCTGTGGGCGAGGACGCCTGCGACATTTCTCGAACTCCGCATACGCAAGATAACATCCAGTCAGGTCTAGTTGGTAGGTCGACCTTGCAACATCAAGGGTGCCTTTGTGTTCGTTTATCGCGTGTCATGTTCTTTCCATGCCTGGAGTACGGGGCGCCCTCGTAAGAGATGTTTCTCTTCCGTGCGCCCTCTGCAAACAATAATTACTCGACGCCAAGATCTCAGCATGTGCATCTCATTATCCTAGTACGTTTGTCTATCGGTACGTGTCAGTGGGCGTCTGCGTGTGAGAGCGAGTCGCTCGCTCGAGACATCCCCACAGTCTGCAAGTCTGAGTGCGAGTGATTCGCAAGTGTGAGTGCGAGTGAATCGGAGTGTCAGTGAATATGAGTGCAAGTGGGCCTTCGTGTGAGTGGGTCTGAGTGTATGTAAGTCTGAGTGTGAGTGGGTCTGAGTGCGAGTGGGTCTGAGTGTGAGTGGCTCTGAGTGTGAACAAGCCTGAGTGAGTCTGCGTTTGAGCGAGTCGGATAACGATGTTTCTGAGTATGAGCGATTCTGAGGATGAGCGAGTCTGAGTGTGAAGATATGTGTGGGTGAGTCTGAGTATGAGTGAATCTAATTGTGAGTGAGTCTGAGCAGGAGTGAGTCTGGAAGTGTGGATGGGGAAGAGGAGGGGCGAGGGGAGGGTGAAGCGGAGGCATCTAAGTAGATACCCCTCTTGCGGCTCCTCCCAGAGATGCTGAAACAAGCGCCTCGCCCGAGACATCCTCACAATCTGCCTGGTCGCACATCTTCTTACCCCTCCCCCCTCCTGTTCTGTCCTCCTCCTCCTGCCAGCGCCTCGCACGCACGCAAGTCTGATCAACCAAACTGCCTGCGACATCCCACAATCAGGGCGCGAATCCTCGAGTGCCCCCACCCTGGCGGCTCCCCCTTGGGAGTGTTGAAACCAGCGCCTCGCCTGAGACATCCTTGCGAACTGCTCTGGAAGCACACACCCTAGGCGATGCTTAAGAAAACTCAAGTTTTTGGCGAGAGTCTCGATGATTCTTAATGTTTCAATGTAAATCCTAAGATTTTGATAGAAGTTCTGGGTTTTTATTCAAATTCTGAGACTCTGAGTTTCTTAACCCATGATTTCTTAAGCATTTCGCAGGGTGCACGAGTCCAAGCACCCAAACGGGCAATCCGCACGAGACGTTCTCCACAGGCTGGGCGCGAATCCTGGAGCGTCCCCACCCTGGCGGCTTCCGCACGGGTGCTGAAACCAGCGCTTCGCCGGAGACATCGTCACGTTCCGTCCTGGAAGCACACAGGTCCAATCTCAACCAGACGGGCACACCGCCTTTTAGATACCCCCACCATCTGGGCGTGAAGCACGGAGTGTCCCCACCCTGGCGGCTCCCCCCCCTCGGGAGTGCTGAAACCGGCTCCTCGCTCGAGACGTTATCAAACCCTGCCCCGAACGCAGTATGTTGCGCGCCGAAACCGGCAAGCAGCCTGAGACACCCCCCCACAGTCTGAGCGCGAACTGGGCCCGTGCAGTACCCCCCCCGGCGCCCCCCTTCGGAGTGCTGAGGCCAGCGCCTCGCTTGAGACATCTTCAATGTCTGTGTGCGCGAGTGGTTCTGAGCATGGTGAGTCTGAGCGAGGAGGTGGTGTGACTGAGCCTGCGTGAGGAAACATGAGTCTGAATATGAATGAGCCTGAGTGATGAGTGAGTCTGAGTGTGAGTGAGCCTCAGCGTGAGTGAGTCTGAGTGTGAGTGAGTCAGTGTGTGACGAGTGAGCCTCGAACCTCAAACCTCGAGCCTCGAACCTTGACCTTCTGGCGCCAACCACCCGCCCTCCTCTTTCTCTTGCTCCTCATCCTCTTTCTTTCCCCTTCTCTCCCCCGCCCCCCTCATCTTCCTCCTGCTCCTCCCCTCACACTCCTCCTCCGGGGGTGTCTCCTGACGTCGCTGGGACCAGAACTCGGCCTCCCGAATTTGTGGAACCGACTCCTGACGTCCCTGGGGCCAGGAAACCGCCTCCAGGCTCAGGATCGATAATACAACCTCAGAAGATCGAAAATGCACAAACTGTCGAACACCGTTCAAAATAAATCCCTGAACTCTTCCTGGTCTCCAAACGCATCACTTTTCCGACCCGCGCCCCGCCGCGTCGACGAGTAAGATTTCAGACCCCCCAACCAATTCTTCATCCTAGATCCTCCGGGCTCGATGTTAGAACCACATCGTACCCCCTGTCAGCTACCTCTTGGGATGCTGAAGCCAGCGACTCGCTTAGGACATCCGTCGAGTCTGGTCCGAAAGCTAAGTGTATTACAAGCCCAAACGCGCAAACCGCCTGAAACATCCTCAAAGCCTGGGCGCGAACAAGCCCCAGAGACACCCCCCTGCCACCCCCCTGAAGGAGTTGTTGAAACCAGCCCCTCGCCTGCTCCGAAAGCGAGAGATGCGGAGCAACGACACAGGCAAACCGTTCGAGACATCCCCACAATCTGTGAGTATGAGTGAGTCTGAATGATGAGTGACCCTGAATGTATATGTGTGTGAGTCAGCCTGAGCGTCAGTGAGTCTGAGCGTGAGTGAGTTGCAGTATGAGTGAGTCTGAGCATGAGTGAGTCTGGGTGAATCTGAGTGTGCGTGAGCCTGAGTGTGAGCGAACTTGATAATGAATGGGAGGAGGAGCAGGAGGAGGAGGAGGAGGAGGATGAGGGAAGTGATGGTGAGGGGTGAGGAGGAGTCGGCGACGTAAGAGTAATAACAAATCCCATATTCGGATATGGGGAAATTTGGAAGGTCAGCGCCTTCGGCGGCCCCCCTGGGCGCTCCGCGCAGCAGGAAGCGGGGTGTGCGGAAGGGCGTTCAGGCCTGACCCTTCAAGTACGCGCGCTCTTTCATAGGCGTTGTTCTCAGAGGCATCATTGCAATTTCTCCTCTTCTTGGTTCCTCGTGGGGGCCCGTCGTTTCCACGGCTGGTCGCGGCTCGAACTCCTGTCAGGATGACCAGGGACGCGCTTTGAGCAGATTGGCGCATTCGAGGAGGACACTTTAGATTCCATCCTCCCCTGCTTCTTCGGAGGTCTTCGGATATGTTCGGAGGCAAGCGTTGCTGCAGTTCGACACGTCTCTCAAAACGGGCCCAGAGGTGCAGAGCGGATTTATTCTGAGCAGATGAAGGGAATTTTGAGAATGACATCTCAGAGACCATCATCCTGCTCCTGCTACCTCATCCTAATCCTGCTCCTCCTCTGGGCCTTCAGAGGCACCCACTCAACGCATGCACCCGTAGCCAACACCTGGTCAGAATTCGTTGTTTGGGGGGCGATGAAAAGGGTTATCATACGATTCATCCCTCTTCGATGCCTCCCCTTCCTTCCTCGGCCTTGCGGCTACTAGTCAACCGCTGTAAGCACGCAGGTATAATCAGAATAGCATATCGCAATCTGGTTCCATCGCTTTGCCACCCCCATGAATCAAGGGTATATGCCTTTCAGCGTATCTTTAAACGTCGGTCCGAGGCCCGATCTATTTCAATGCCTTCCCCGCCCCCTCAGTCACGCCATGTCTCTACCTATAGATCTCTCGAACGACGTGCGTGGCTGGCACTGGAACCGGGGCTCACCAGAGGCCTGCGGGGGAGTCCATAGGTCTCCGGAGGACTCTAGAGGCCTCCCGAAGCCTCGAACGGGCAAGGCCATCAGGAATTGGTGCCTTTCGATCGCCAGCCCTTCCCTTCACCATGCTTGGCGCTGGAAGTACTGGAGCCAAAGACTGGCCAGAATACGCCGAGGGCTTCTCCTCTTGTCCTGCGCACCGTGCCCTTTCAGCCTCGATAGCCCTCCGTTCCCTTCACCTTGCTTGGCACTGGAACTACTGGAGCCAAAGACTGGTCAGAATGAGCCGAGGGCTTCTCCTCTCGGCCTGCGCACCGCGCCCTTTCAGGGCCGTCCTCCCGCCAGTAGGCGCCTCGCCCTCCTGATCCTCCTGGCCGTTCGAGGAGGGGCGAGATTGTTGCATGTGTTGGTGGCTTTCTTTCTGTGTGCGCTTGTCTCCAGCTTCCTGGCATGCCCAGGGGCGCCTTCCTTCTCCCCCGCGCGCTCGTGCAAGGATCTTTCGGAGACCCAGAAGTCGGAGACAGAGAACCAGAAGGCCTACGAGGCCCTCAAGGCCGCAAAGCTGGAGCAGATTGCCGCGGGCCAGGCTCAGGTCGACGACGATGACGCCGGCGACGACGATGGCGACGCTGAGGACTACGACATCGACGACACCGACATCGACTACGACTCTGACGCTGGCATCCACGACGCTGTCGTTGACGCTCACAACGGCGACGCTGACGACGACGATGTCAACGTCGCCGTCGTCGAAGCCGTCAGGTCGACAAGAAAACACAGGAGCTCGCTGACACTGACGAGCGGTTGGCCCACTCGAAGCAAGACATCGGGGACACGAAAAACTCTTTGAGCGCTGACGAGAAGTTCTTGATGGACCTCAAAGAGAGGTGCAAGACAACTGGCCCCGAATCGAAGGGGGGAGGAGAGAATCTAGGTCACCGAAAGGAGTGCACGGATAAGCGCGCAGCGCGGCCTCATCTGAAAAAAGTGCTGTTCAGACTCTGGGGCGCCCCCAGAGTCTGGGGGTTGTGGGTTGCTCCGACTTTGTCTCGCGTTGTCCGACTGTGTCTCCTCGCTCATACCCCCTGCCTCCTTCTCCTGGTCCTCCTCCCTGTTTCTCTTCCTACTCCCTCTTCGCCTGCTTTTCCCAGTCCTTTTCTTCCTATTCCTCCTTTTCCTCCTCCTCCTCCTCAACCTCCTCCTCCTCCTCCTCCTCCTCCTCCTCCTCACCCCCAGTGCGCCCAGGAGGCTTTCAAGATGGCCCCATGACGGCCCAGGAGGCCCCAAAGACGGCCCCAAGAGGCCTCTAAGACGCCCAATATGGCCTCCAAGACGGCCCTGAAGCGCCTCAAGAGGACCCCACATCGGTTCAGAGAGGCCCCCAAGACGGCTTCCGACGGCGTCAGACCCGTCAGACGGGCTAGGAACGATTTAAGATTGCCGAGGAGAGGCCCCCAAGACGCCCCCACGGCCCCCAAGAGGCCTAAGGAGGCCCCCAAGAGGCTTCCGAGAGGCCCCCCGGGAAGCCCCCAGGAGGCCCCACAAGAGTGCCCCAAGAGGCTCCCAAGAGGCTTCCTCCTCTTCCTCCTCCTCCTTCTCCTCCTCCTTCTCATCCTCTTCCTCCCTCTCCTGATCCTCCCCCTCAGCCTCCCCCAAGCGTTCCCCGAAGAGTTTCCGGAGCGGCTGGGGGAATACATTATCAGATAGCTTGGCCAAGCTGGGACACAACGTTTGGCCACATAGGCGCTTCTCAAAACGGCTGGGGGCGGCGGTGATTCGCCGTAGGCGTCTTGGATCCGCCGCCCCCTGTGCTTGCCACAGGGTTGGACGGCGTGCCAGACATTTTGCTGAGATTATGATTTTCAAACCCTTCCCAGTGGCCTTCGGCCCAGACCGCCTGCCCCTCGGAAGGACCAGAAGGTGTGGCCCACATCGCCACCAAGACGGCCCAAACGGCCCAATATGGTCACCAAGATGCCTCCAAGGCGGCTAGGATCGCTCCAAGAGAGCCCAAGACGGCTCCAATATGTCTCCAAGACGGCCCAAGATGCACCCGAGGCGTCCAAGATGGCCCCAAGATGGCCCAGGACGGCCCCAAAGGCCCCCAGGAGGCTTTTAATGCAGTCCAAGAAGCCTCCAAAGGGATCTGCAGGAAGGCCCGAAGAGGCCAAGACAGCTGATTTCCCGTGGGCTCTTGATGGATTTTGACGTTTTCGGCCTGCCGACGGCCCAATGCCGCCGAAGAGACCCCCAAGATGGCCCCAAGAGCGCCCAAGAGGCCTCCAAGACGGCCCCATGACGGCCTCCAGACGGTCCAAGAGGCCCCCAAGGCGCCTCCAAGACGGCCCACGAGAATTCCAAGGCGCCCACGATGGCCTTCAAGACGGCTCCAAAACGTCCAAGATGGCAACGATACGATTCGACATAGCCCCAGGATGTCCCAAGACAGCCACAGAGGGCCCCAAGGGCCCCAAGTGGATGCAAGGGGCCTCCTAGACAGTCTAGGAAGTCTTCAAGAGGACCTCCAGGAGAGCCCGAAATGCCCAAATGGTTGTATTTATTCCCTTCAATTGTTGAATAATTTGGGCGCGTTTTCTTTTTCGGCTGTCCGACGGCCCAAGATGTCCACAAGATGGTCCCAAGACGGCCCAAGCTGACTTCAAGATGGCCCCAAAAGGGCCCCAAAGGGCGAGGAAACAGTCCAAGAGGAAGAGCAAGAGGAAAGGACGGAATCAGAGGCCCGAAGCGGCTCCGAGAAGCCTGCAGCTCAGCGCGGGCTCGTCTGCGGACGCCCTTGCCCCCCCCAGGAAAAACATATCACCCCGAGGCCCGGTGATGTTTTGTGGGGCCGCCATCTCAAAGCCCCACGGCCAGCTTTTGGGTCGAGGAGGAGGAGGGGCAGGAGGACGAGGAGGTGATCAACAGGAACCAGAGGAGCAGGAGCAGCAGGAGGACGAGGAGTTTGAGCAAGGGGTCAGGGACGGAATGATAGGCCAGAAGCGGCTCCGAGACCAAACCGCGCTGAGCTGCAAGGTTTTCGGAGCCGCTTAAGGCCTCTCATTTCGTCCTTGTCCCCCTGCTCAACCTCCTCGTCCTCCTGCTCCTGATTCTCCTGGTTTTGCTCCTCTTCTTCCTCGACCCAAGAGCCGGCCGTGGGGCCTTGAAAGGGCGGGCCGAAAAAATGTCACCGGGGGCCGAGCTGCAGGCTTCTCGGAGCCGATGCGGCCAAAAAGAGGCTGCCCTGCAGGCTGTCTCGGAGCCGCTGCGCCAAAAGAAGGACACCTTGTCGGTTTAACTACTAGGTCGCTTTGTCGGCTGATTTCGGGCGCGTCGTCATCGTGGTCGTCGTTGTCATCGTCGTCGTCGTGGTCGTCGTCGTCACCACCATCGTCGTGGTCGTCGTCGTCGTCGTTGTCGTCGTCGTCGTCGTCGTCGTCATCGTCGTCGTCGTTGTCGTTGTCGTCGCCGTCCATAAGATGGCCCCGAGAGGGCCCTAAGAGGGCCCCAAGAGAGCCCCAAGAGGGCTCCGAGAGGGCCCCAAGAGGGCCCCAGGAGTTGTGCAACAACCCAGCGGCCGCTGGTACATAACTCCTGGGGCCCTCTTGGGGCCCTCTGAGGGCCCTCTTGGAGCCCTCCTGGGCCCCTGGTTGGCCCATGAGAGGGCTCCAAGAGGGCCCTAAGAGGGCCCCAAGAGGGCCCCCAAAGGGCCCCAAGAGGGCCCCAAGAGGGCGCCAAGAGGGCCCCAAGAAGGCCCCAGGAATTATGTACCAATCCAGCGGCCGCTGGTACAGAACTCCTGAACCCTCTTGGGACCCTCTGAGGGCCCTCTCGGAGCCCTCTCGGACCCCTGGTTGGCCCGTAGGGCCCCAAGAGGGCCCCAAGAGGGCCCCAAGAGGGCCAAAGGGCCCCAAGAGGGCGCCAAGAGGGCGCCAAGAGGGCTCCAAGAAGGCCCCAGGAATTATGTACCAACCCAGCGGCCGGTGGTACAGAACTCCTGGGGCCCTCCTCCTCCTCCTCGGCGACGACGACGGCGAGGAGGTGTAAACGCACCCTTACCCAGCCCCTGCAGGACCAGGCAGCGATACTTGGACCAAATTTCCTGGCCCCTGTTTCGACCCCAGAGCTCTCGACCCCGTCCAGGAGCTCCCGACCCCAACCCGGAGCTTTCGGCCCCATCCTGGAGCTCTCGACCCGCAGACGACGACGCGACGACGACGACGACGACGACGCCTCGACCTGGAGTGGTAAGTTTTGCTGCTGCTTTTCCCCAGGGGTTTGGAGCCCTCGGGGCCCAGGGGGGCCCCGAAACGGATCCGAAGCCTCAAATTTTTCCGGCCCGCGACCGACGACCGGCGACAACGACGACGACGACGACGACGACGACGGGCATAAGTTATTTGGCGCCCCCCCTTGGGAGCATCGGGTAACTGGGGGGTGCGCTCCACACCCCCCACTTACCCGGTGTCCCCCCGGGGACATCGGGTAACTCGACCTTGCAGGGGGGGGTGTTAGGCACGGGTTACCCGGTGGCGAGGGGGGGGCATCGGGTAACTCGACTTTGCACGGGGGGGAGTCGGGCATGAGTTACCCGGTGTCCCCTGGGGGACATCGGGTAAGCGGGGGGTGCGCTCCACACCCCCCACTTACCCGGTGTCCCCCGAGGGGCGTCGAGTAAGTCGACCTTGCAAGGGGCGCATTCGGCATTATTCAGTAAACCGGTGGACCCCCATATGGGACATCGGAGTTACCCGGTGGTCCCCGTGGGACATCGGCCCGTGGGACATCGGAGTTACCCGGTGTCCCCCGGGGGACATCGGGTAACTCGACATTGCAAGGGGGGTCTGGGCATGGTTACCCGGTGGCCTCCCGTGGGACATCGGAGTTACCCGGTGTCCCCCGTGGGACATCGGAGTTACCCGGTGGTCCCCGTGGGACGTCGGCCCGTGGGACATCGGAGTTACCCGGTGTCCCCCGTGGGACATCGGAGTTACCCGGTGGTCCCCGTGGGACATCGGCCCGTGGGACATCGGAGTTACCTGGAGTCTCCCGGGGGACATCGTGTAATTCGACCTTGCAGGGGGGGGTCTGGGCATGAGTTACCCGGTGGTCCCCCGTGGGACATCGGCCGTGGGACATACGGAGTTACCCGGTGTCCCCCCGGGGGGACATCGGGTAAACTCGACATTGCAAGTGGGGGTCGGGGCATGGTTACCCGGGGGCTCCGTGGACATCGGAGTTACCCGGTGGTCCCCCGTGGGACATCGGAGTTACCCGGTGGTCCCCGTGGGACATCGGCCCGTGGGACATCGGAGTTACCCGGTGTCCCCCGTGGGACATCGGAGTTATCCGGTGGTCCCCGTGGGACATCGGCCCGTGGGACATCGGAGCTACCCGGTGTCCCCCGTGGGACATCGGAGTTGCCCAGAGGTCCCCGTGGGACATCGGCCCGTGGGACATCGGAGTTACCCGGTGTCCCCCGTGGGACATCGGGTAACTCAACCTTGCAAGGGGGGGTCTGGGCACGATTTACCTGGTGCCCCCCCGTGGGACATCGGAGTTACCCGGTGGTCCCCGTGGGACATCGGAGTAACCCGGTGGTCCCCGTGGGACATCGGCCCGTGGGACATCGGAGTTACCCGGTGTCCCCCGTGGGACGTCGGAATTACCCGGTGGTCCCCGTGGGACATCGGCCCGTGGGACATCGGAGTTACCCGGTATCCCCCGTGGGACATCGGAGTTACCCGGTGGTCCCCGTGGGACATCGGCCCATAAGATGGCTCCAAGGGGTCCCTAAGACTGGGCTGGTACATAACTCCTAGGGCCCTGTTGGGGCCCTCTGAGTGCCCTCTTGGAGCCCTCTTGGGCCCCTGGTTGGCCCTAGGAGGGCCCCAAGAAGGCCCAAGGAATTATGTACCAATCCAGCGGCCGCTGGTACATAATTCCTGGGGCCCTCTTGGGGCCCTCTGAGGGCCCTCTTGGAACCCTCTTGGGCCCCTGGTTGGCCCTAAGAGGGCACCAAGAAGGCCCCAGGAATTATGTACCAACCCAGCGGCCGCTGGTACATCACTCTTGGGGCCCTCTTGGGGCCCTCTGAGGGCCCTCTTGGAGCCCTCTTGGGGCCC